AGAAACAGAATTTAGTCTCCAATAATTTCTGAATTTCTAACGTTTAGAAATGTAATGTAAATAAATAGTTTACATAAGCGCATCAATCATTTCTGTACATGTATATGTATTTGTGTAATCAAAATTTTGATTTTTTTTTATTCAAAGAATGACATTAATTATCAAGTTACAATAATCAAATTCTTGTTCATATTCTCTCACACATTACTTTCCCTTTTAAATTTTAAAAAAGAATGAAATATTGAATAAAATTATTATAATAAATTATTCAATTTGTTAGATAATTGATGGTGTTTTTAATACCTCTTAATATTTACACTTCATTGTATAATAATGTTCACACTTTTAAAATTGTAATGAAAAATGTAATCGCTTATGAAGTTTATATTTATCTGTAAAGGAAATACCCAACTTCTTGGCAGTATTAGCTTACGCGCGCGTGTGTGTGTGTGTGTGGGGGGGGGGGGGGTAATGTGTGTGTGTGTGTTCCGATTTTAACATTTCAAATATTTGTAGAAAAGAAAAGCCTGCCTACATTAGGTGTGCATTAACATCAATACACGAAATGATAAAACGCTTTTAAATCAAACAATTTGTTTGTATTGACAGCAATTGAAATGAACTAAATCTTTCGAATGTTTACTCATCAAAATACCCCCTTTTGGTGAATAGATTTGAATAGTCGTTGTATTGAGGTTGTTAAGAGCTCTCAAAATACATGCAACGAGGAGGTTTAATCTGAATTTGCCCAGGTGTGCGTTACAGGTGAGATAGCGTTACCTCGACAGGTACTCCTTAAGACCTTACAAAGACTAGGTCGTGGGTATTTATGTTTTTAGATTATAAGTTCAGAAAGTTCCTATGATGTGTAGAAAGATCTCCTAAAAGTCCGAATTGGAAATGGAGGGCGGGGGTGGAAGGGGGGGGGGATAAAAAGATAACGCAGGGGAATTATGACCGGTCACTCACCGAATGTTAAAGTTACAAACAGGGCAACTTGCACAAAGTCGAGTGACAGAATGACATGCATCTTCTTTATCTTCAGAATGTACTGTATACAGGGTGTTAAAGTGATAATGATGTTTAATTCGAATTCGCTCCGTTTTAAATTTGCCCACATTTGACGAGGACGAAAGGAGCGAAAATAAAACGGGAGCAAAATTTTCCCTGCATATACTAGTATATTCGTTTGCTATTTCGCCTGAGTTCCGGTAGTAACCACGTAGTGTCCATCATTTCATGAGCATTAAATTTATGCAGGGTAATTACGTATACATTCCATTGATACATTTATAATGAATATGAAATATGTTTATGCATTTGAAAGGCGTTGATCAAATCAATTTTGGACTACATTAAAGATAATAACTTATAGACTTATGAAACTAAATAAATATCTTATTTCTAAATTCACACCCATGTCTACTGAATCAATGACGCCATCATCTTGCGTAATTCACCGCGGATCTGTCTCAAATAACGCTATCTTAATAAAAAAAAATTTGGGGGTCACATATCATCTATAAAAGAATGCAGTATATATATTGTATATAAGTAGCTCTCTGGTTTGTCTGTCCGAATTTTCTCAACCAGAGAGCTACAGTTCTGCAGCTACAAATACGCCACAAAATGGCAATGCGGACATATGATACTTGAAGGACCTTGTTGAGAAATTCTTTAAAAACCATCAATCGGCTGCTATAACCATGTTCAATTTAACAATGCTCACCACAATTATTTCTTGAAGTCTTTAAGAGAGCTGAGGATGTAGAATTATCGTCCTATCTAAGAGAATATGCAAATTAGTGTCATTATCGCCCCCCCCCCCCGGCCCCTTTTTTTTAAAAAAAAAAAAAAAAAAGTTTTAATTTTTTTTTTAAATCTCCAAGTATTCATATTTTAGCGTGTAAACAGATGCAAGTTATACCGTTTCATGGTCGAATTTGAAAGGAAAAGCCAGCACATGAAACACTACAAAACTACAATTTTTTAGTTATCCGCAATTGTCTTACATATAGTTAATCTATTGAATGAAAAGCCAATTCACCTGCAAAATAGCAATAATAAATGCACTAAATCTGTAAACCCTTGAATTTAACCGCATAACAGTAAACATTTAAAACTAATCTATCAAATCGGGAGAAAAATTAAAAGGTCGACTTTGTAACTGTTACAGAGGGAAATGGAATATTGAATTATTATCAGGAAAAATCTTTCGCTCTCTCATAAAACTGAAATCTGGACGATATGGAATATTTGAAGTCAAAGGTACCCGTTTTGTTAAGCCTGAATAGTTCAGTTGTTTGCACAACATTCGTACGAAATGACTTTAGAATATTAAGAAGATAATTCCTGTGTTGTAGGGGATTAAAAAGTTTAAGCATACGAAGATTATACCGTCTCCCTCAGACTACAAATATAAGGTCGTTTATTGTCAATTCGATTTTTGAATAAAATCGAACGTGTTTATTTCATTCGTTTGGTTAATGCTACACTCAATGACTCTGACCTAAGAGGATAATGTATTATAAAAGTAACCATGAGTCAGGGATGAGCTTTTTGCTTACTCAAAGAAAATGATAAATAAATAGAAATCATAATATTTCGAAATAATTAACAATATTCATGTCCCACAGAAAAATATTTGTAGATTTACAACTTACATATTTTTTCTCAAATTTTCTATATCTATTTTTTGAATACAATATTTTTTTAATTTGATTTTGTTCTTGAATTTGATATTATTTTTATTATTATCAAATTAAAGTTCTTTTGTTTTTTTTCGAAGCTGACTTTGACAATTATTTACTTCAATTTCATCTCATGGGGAAAACCGCTAAAGTTAGAGATTTTAGTGCAATTAACTCCTTTTTTTCTGGTTTAATATTTCAATAATTAATTGAAAAGAAAATAATTTGCACTCAAATAACATGACCATTCCAATGATCTCATTCATTCAGTTATTTTTATTTTTTAAAGTTAATAATTTTTGTCAAAGCAAATACAATAGGACAATGACGTCTAACAACCGAAGAAAATGGTGGCCTGAAATTTTTGCTGTTGAACGTTATTCCGTAACCTCCTTCTATAATTGAACTGTAGGAATTTAATCAGACGAAAAGCGTTTGGAATGCAATTGATCTAAAAATGAAGAGTAGATACTTGATCCTTGGTTAAGTAGCACGTACTTTTAGAAGAAATTACTTGCTATTCGCACAATGTTTCCTTGTTTTCGTCTCTCTTTCTGTAGAAAGTGCACTTCCGGTTATTAACGACTGAATTCTAAAGTCAATTGTTAATGTTCACTAGAATGGTATAATAATGCCCTGTATGTGTTAAATGGAGTCTGTGTATGGATGATTACGAGATAAAAGAGACACAGTAATTTTTTATGAGTATTATAATTATATGAGCAATACGTTGAGTAAAAAAAAAATCAATGAGTGTCCTTAAAATTTTGCATTGTCTTTTAAATTGAATTAAATGACAATTTTTATGTATATATATAATGTAACCATAAAGGATAAAACCCCCTCCACCAAAAAAAAAATAATAATAAAAAGCAAAAACAAAACAAAAACAATAAAAACAAACAAAAAACTTGCCATAAATTATTTGTGCTAGGTAAGGTGCACTGTGCTGATTTTCTAAGGTAACAAGTCAATTAATTTTAAATGTCGCTAAAAGATTGCTGCACGCCGGAAAAAGTATTCAACGATAGACAACTCTTTTCCATGCTTAGAATTTTCATATATTAAAATTTCATTTTGTATATTAATTATATTCTAATTTTCATTATTATGACTTATTTGTCAATCAGTGCCAGTGAACATCTAAATGTATTATATACATATTTATATTCATTTTATCTTACAAAGAAATGCAAAGTTCTATACCAACCACTTTAATTTGTGTATATACGATGGTGCTGCGGTATCAAAAATTATACTGAAACGAATTACTCATCAATGATTATTAAGTGAATCACGGATTGAACATAAATATGTCAACTCAGGAATTGGAATCATGAAAAAACACGCTAATTCAGGGAATTTGTGTCCCCGCTTAAGGAAAAGGAAAAAAAGAAAAGGGTGTAAGATCTGAAAAATGAAGACGAAGAAAAACCAAACCAAAAAAAAAATCCAACCTTGACCTTTAGCTTTTGGCGTTAAAGTCAACAGAGGTCTAAAGAAATTCTTGACCTTACGTTTCATTCAAAGAGAGAGAACAGAGTGAAACTTAAGTTATCATCTGAAAACTATGCGTGCAATATATGACCTTGGTCTTTGACCTTCTGACTTCAAAATCAATCGGGGTCTTTTTTAAGTCATATTGACTAGAGGTATAAAATTTCATAGCAAAATCTTAAAGAGAAATAAAGTTATCACCAGGAAACCATTTTATGCAATATATGAATTTCTGACCTTGACCTTTTAACCTAAAACTCAATTGAGGTATTCTTGAAGTCATTGGGAGTAATAATAAAAGATCTCGTTGAAAAAGCTCAAGGAAAAATAAAGTTCACATCTGGATACCATTTTCGCAATGTATGAATTTCTTACCTTGACCTTTGACTTTTTGACCCCAGAATCAATATGGGTCTTCTTTAAGTCACCGAAAGTTAAGATATAACATTTTATTGAAAAAGCTGAAAGGGAACTAAAGTTATCATCTGGAAATCATTTTTAAGAATACAGTAAAATTTCGTTATCGCGAACTCGATAGGACTGAAAAAAATCAAAATATTCGAGAATTCGAGATACCACGGGTAAAATATTTTAAGAGTAAGTGGCTGGGACTTCCAAATCATTTCGATATAACCATGGTATTCGAGATATCAGTTTTCGAGACAGCAAAGCTCACTTGTATATTAATTATCATTTTCTGACGTCAAAATCATCGGTTAAGGGTCTTTCTTAAGACATTTAGAGTTATGAAATAAATAAAATCTTATTTAAAAAAAAAGAAAAGAAAAGAAAACAAGAGTTATCATCTTGGAAAACATTATTTGCAATGCATGAATTTCTGACTTTCACCCTTGACATCAAAATCCATATGTTTCTTCTATAGGTAGGAAGTCAGGATATAAAATCTCATTGCAAAAGCTCAAAGGTTTTTTGAGATAGTGCCTGGAAAAGAAGTTGTACACACAGACAAAGTGTGTTAAATCCCTTGCTGTCCTTGTCCTTTTCACCTCAAAATCAAAAGTGTTTTTAGGCCACAAGGACTTGTAATATTAAATTTCATTCTTATGTTTTGAAGACAAAATCTCTTTGATTGTTCAAGGCACGTGTGATGTTTTGTGGTTGTGTGATGTTTTCTGATTGTGATGTTTTGTGGTTGTGTGGTGTTTTGTGGTTGTGTGATGTGTGATGCTTGTGTGATTTTTTGTGATTGTGCAATTTTTTTGTGATTGTGAGGTGTTTTGTGGTTGTGTGATGTATGATGCTTGTGGTTGTGTGATGTTTTGAGATTGTGAGGTGTTTTGTGGTTGTGTGGTGTTCTGGAGTTGTGTGATTTGTGATGTTTTGTGGTTTTGTGATGTGTGGTGTTCTGGGGTTGTGTGATGTGTGGTGTTCTGGGGTTTATGATGTGTGATGTTTTGTGGTTGTGCAATGTTTTGGGATTGTGCTGTGTGGTATTTTTTATCTGTACTTTGCCTACCAAAATAAAAAGTCATTTGTGTAGAATGAATAAACATATTTATCACAATACTTTATGATATCACTTACTCAAGAACATATGGCTGATCCTGGAAAAAAATGTATTTTATGTACATAGTCAAATCAATTTCTGCTTAAAGGTATTATCTATTGCTTGACACTATATAATAAAGTATACTATGTAAAATTTCATTTTTGTCATTAGTTCATTGAAAATCACCAGTAACAGAGTCTGACTGAATATAGTATTTGTTTTATGATATGCTTTAAACAAATCTCCTCATTAAAGTAAAACATGTTTATAACAAAGTGTCAGGGATGACCAATTTTGATTCGTTATAAATGTAATTCGTTATATCCATTTACAATATATTTTAAAGCCAAGGGGAATAAAATCACTTCACCATAAGCGTCAATATTCATTATAAGCATATTTGCTGTATAAAGTGTGTTTTACTGTACATACAATGTATAATGTTCTATTTCGTTTGGTGGACTATTTTCTGAAGAAGAAAAAGAATCTAAATATATTCTATAAAAAAAAATAATTAAAAATGTGAACAATGCACATATAAACAAATCAGGCTTATATAGACATCATTGAAATTGATTAGTTTTGGACATCACGTAAAGAATAGAATAGAATATTCCTAATTTTGTATAAATGAATTCCCAATCAAGATTATTCTGATAAATTATTTGTCAACAAGCAAAACAAACAGAAGGATAAAACGATCTTAAAAAAAAACAACATTTTTTAAAAATTAAAATGTACCCTTAGAAATAAAATAAATGCCATAAATATTTGGATTTCTATGAAAGTCGTTAATGACAGATTAATATCATAATAATGATACATTCCATATTTAACAGATAATGTCATGTTTATTTTCATTAACTGACATAAAAGCACCAATTTGAAGGATATGGATTTTTTTTACATATACACATCATAAATAAATTATAACTGAATTTCAACAAAAAACATCTCAAAAAATCAAATAAATATTCCATATTTAAAGCTAAGTCATAACATCCAGTAATGTTATGCTATGGATTTTTAAAAAGACTAGATTGATTAGAAGCAGCAGTAATATCAACATTATACTACATGTATATTTCAGCTTACATGTACATGTATGTTTTCACGAAAATTGTTTACTTAACTTTTTTTCTTACAAATACATTTTTAAATTGATATTAAAAAAAGTTATGAAGAAAAGATAGAATTTAGATATATACAGTTGAAGAATGCAATTGATATGTATATAATGCTAGAAAAGAAATGGAATTAAGGCTTTTCTGTTTGGTGGATAGGACTCAAACTGTGACTTGTACCTATATAAAATGAAAAAAAAAATGATTCATAGGACGAAAATTAATAGTGCATGCAGAAAAAAGTTGTGGTTATAATAATTTTTTAAAAAACCCAAATTTTATACTTTGGCAATGTGTATTTCAAATTAAGTAATCTCACCACACATGATTATGTCGAGCTCTGGGGACAAAAGTCGCTGCTGCAAAAAGGGTCCACACCAGACCTGCTGCTGACCATGTAGCAATTGTCCTACAATACATATAGAAAGTTGTGTTGTTTTAAGCTTTCTTCCTTCGCAAGACCAAGAAAGGGCAAGAAACCCGACCTCTCTGAATACGTAGCATTTTATGAAGGACAAAAGAATTACTGGGGCACAAGAGGATAGAAGGTAGTGAGATATCTAATGTATAGCTATGCAAGTTTGATCTATATTTTTTTAAATATATGATAAATCAACCTTTGAATACCTTGATAATTTTTAAAGTTTAAACCTAAATAAATTCAATTTTTAATCAATGAATTTTAATTAATTTTTAATTACCATCCAATCCATTCAACCAGTTCACCAAAGTAGTTTGGACACGTGACTAACTCAAAGAATCCCCCGTATGGTATGTAGTAACCGGTACATCCTGTCAAAATAAAGGTGGTGCTAACATGTTGTAAAGATATGACCAATGCAGGCGTATATCTTACAGAATTTCAATTTAATCCAAAAACAAAGGAAAAAAAACTTTTTGTAGATGATGACGTCATGCAAATTGAATGGTTTTGTCACATTAAGTAAATACAGATGATACGGCAGAATAGATACAGAATAACAGAGGCATGCATTGGAAACAATGGAAAGAAACGTCTCATAATTATTCTTCTCTGCATAACCAAAAAAAGCTTAAATGACAATGACGTTAATATTTTCTAGGATTTTCAGGATGTTTTGGCAATGTGTGGTTGTCATGATTACCTCTCCCAAGGTATAATAATGCTTTTCAAGAAAGATACATGTATACTAATAAATGCAGTCAACCATTTGAAATAGAATCGATGAATCCTTTTACATTCAATATTTTTAGTTTAAAAAGGTTTTTAGGTTAATACATTCCGTAAGAGGTTGTTTAAGTAGTATAAATGACGTGTAGCAATTTAAGAATGAGAATACTACATTGTAAATAAACAAATAAAAAAAATTACTTTTTTCCTTAATACTTTCAACTCCTATATGCAATTTGAAGTTAACCTTGAAGTATATTTGAAGTAACTTTAGACAAAGGTAGGGTTTTCCGTGTCAGTATTTACTATATCACCTCTACTAAGTTCTTACCAGGTTTCTCGTTACTATTTTCTTCTTGACTATGACTTAAAGCACCGTAATTGACTGCCTTTTGGTTTTGATCATTTGAAGAATCTATTAAAATGTCGAAATATTATCATCAAACTATCACTATTGTGACTGAGAGGTAACTAAATTATCTTCGGGATCGGGATTCCAACATATGGTGACATGAAAACAAGTCATACAGTAAGAAATGGCTGTTAATTTTGTACTTATGTCACCATGAAAATGTACTGATACCTAATGAATAAATATCAGCACCATGTCAAAAATGAATATGTGTTAATTAAAATACATCGCACATCTTTTCTGCATATTGGTATGAGTGTGTCATTCAATGTCTGGTTTATCACGATTTTAATCTGATTTTAATTCAAAGAAAGTTAGCAAACACTATTAATGATAAAATTCATTTTTAATAGAAAGTGTTCGACTGACGAATATTTCCCGTTGTTCCCGTCTAGATGAATAAAAAGTTTACATTCTTCAGGTTATAAATTTTGAGAGCACTGGTCATCACTACGTATATGTTACCAAAATGGCATTTACAGCTATAATTTACTTGAGATTCAAAATCAAAGATCAGCCATTAAAACAAGTAAAACTACCGAAGTATATACACTGTATCATTTTTAAGGATCAAAATCACTGAAATGCAGAATCTAAATACCCAACCCCCCATCTCCTTTAACAAAAAAGTCATGCAAGATTATACATACGTAAGCACAAACACAATAAGCCTTTCCTTTGGTTTTCAACTAAAATATATTAATAAGATACCTTTTGTTTCCCGTAAAGAACGTAATTTTAGATCCGCCCATCTGTTGATGATATACCCAGCAAAGAAAATAATAATACCAAGTATAAAACGAGGGTCACTACAAAAAAGAAAACAGTATTGTTATTCAACTTTCAATTGTGTGTGTCTAGTAACATTCTGAATTTTTCGGGATAGAAGTACAGGCCCGTTGAAAGTGGGTAGGAGGGCACTTTTTATGCCCCCGTATCGAAGATTCGGGGGTGTATAGTTCTTGCCCTGTCCGTCCGTCTGTCGGTCTGTCTGTCTGTCTATTTGTCTGTCTGTCTGTTTGTCCGCAAAAACTTTAATATTGCTCATAACTTTTGATTGGTTAAAGCTATGGCTTACATATTTCACATGTGTATTCCTTGGGACAAAACCTTTCTTTGGGTACCATCATATTTGACCTTTTGACCTTGACCTTAGAGTTTGATCCAGTTTTACAAAATTTTTTCAAACCTTAACTTTGGCCATAACTTTTTTGAACGGTTGGTGCTACAGCTTTCATACTTCACATGTGTATTCTTATGACAAGACCTTCCTTTGGATACCAACAACTTTGACTCTTTGACCTTGGAGTTTGACCTACTTTTGAAAAACTTTAACATTGGCTTTAACTTTTGAACGATTAATGCTAGGGCTTTCATTGTTCACATGTGTAATCCTTGTGACAAGACCTTCCTTTGGATACCAACAACTTTGACCCTTTGACCTTGACCTACGAGTTTGACCTACTTTTGAAAAACTTTAACATTAGCCATATCTTTTGAACGGTTGGTGCTAGGGCTTTTATTTTTTCACAAATGTAATCCTTGTGACAAGTCCTTCACTTGGATACCAACAACTTTGACCTTTTGACCTTGACCCGTGAATTCGACCTACTTTTAAAAAACTTTAACATTGGCCATATCTTTTGAACGGTTGGTGCTAGGACTTTCATTCTTCACTTATGTAATCCTTGTGACAAGACCTTCCTTTGGGTACCAACGACTTTGATCTTTTGACCTTGACCTTTGAGTTTGACTTTCTTTTGAAAACTTTATACCTTGGCCATACCTTTTGAACAGTTAATGCTAGGGCTTTCGTTCTTCACATGTGTAATCCTTGTGACAAGTCTTTCCTTTAGATACCAACAATTATAGCTCATTGACCTCTACCTTTGAGTTTGACCTACTTTTGGAAAACTTTAAGCTTGGCTATTTCTTTTGAGCAATTGGTTCTAGGACTTTCATACTTCACATATGCAATCCTTGTGACAAGGCCTTATACAGGATACCAACAACTTTGACCCTTTGACCATGACTTTGGAGTTTGACCTACTTTTGAAAAATTTTAACCTTGGCCATATCCTTTAAAGGGTTGGTGCTAGGACTTTCATATTTCACATGTGTATTTCTTGTGAGAAGGCCTTTCCTTGGGCACAATTAATTTTGACCTTGACCTTGATGTTTGACTTACTTTCCACATCTTTTCAATGGTTTCTGCTAGGGCTTTCATATTTTACAAGTATATTCCTCAGTACAAGACCTTACTTTGGGTACCAACCTATTTGATTTGCACTTCAGAAAGTTTAACCTTCGCTATAAGTTGCCATACGGGGGCATCAGTGTTTCACAAACACATCTTGCTTTTTTTTTTTTTTTTTTTTTTTTTTGATTGACAGAACTTAAAACAACTTCGGGTCGTAACATTTATCCGTTTTAGTCTACATTCATCAATCTACATCCATCATGCATTCGCCGATAGATGGCTGAAATACTACCGATATGGCGTTAAACAATAATCAATTAAGCCACCATTTCATAATTTTACTTTCGGTTCGAGAATGGCAGGTTTGTACACCTTAAATTTATTTATTGGACAGTATTACAATGGAATGCAAAAAAAAAAAAAAAAAAAAAAAAAAAAAAAAAAAAGCAAAAAAGCCTCCTCATTAAGGACTAAATAGGCATCAAGTCTGCGTCCCACATATAATACCAGTTATTTCTGAAGATGAAGTGTAGTCAATATTGCTCTAAACCATTTTGAAACTCCAAAATGTATATAATGTTTAGAATGACAGATCAAAATTCTAAGCACATTTTGCATGCTGCATGAATCAGATTATCAAATCAACTGTTCGGTTTTTGTTGGTTTGTTTGTTTAGCGTCCCTTCGAGAATTTTTCACTCATACTGAGCAGTGAGGGATCCTTTTCGTGCCAGCACCTACTGCGACACGGGATCTCGGTTTATACGGTCTCATCTGAAGGACCGGTCTCCATGTCCCGCAGTTGGGTATCAAATCAAAAAAATTCTAGCTTCAGAAATAAATTATGACAGAGTATGTTTCAGTGAACAAAAATTCACTTGGATACATCATTTGGATTTCCTTTCTTTGAGAAATCATAATTATTACGGACACTGTCTTTAGTTTAAGCAAATTAAGTCACTTACTAGTAAATAAACATGCAGTTATTCACTACCAAATTTACAAATAGTTACTCATAAACAAATTAACAGTTACTTACTAGTAATAACTTGTGTAGAACTCTGCTGATCCTATGAAGTCAGCGTTTATAAAATGGTAGAGGCAGTTCGGAAAAAATCCACCAAGCGTTATGCTGAAAAATAAAATGCAGAGAATGTCGGATAACCCCCAAGTGTTGTTCTGCAAAATAATTGCAAGAAGCATATAAGAAAAAGTTAAAAAATATTATTTTCTCTTCATATTTACATGTTTGGAACTCGTGTCTTGCTGTAAAATCACATATTTTCGTGGGATCAATTTTTCGAGGTTTGAGAAAAAAAATAGCCTGTTCATGGGGATTTGGTGGTTATCAAAGACGAGAGCTTTTGTTCATTTGAAATTTTACATTTTGTGGAGGACATAAATTCGTGAATTCTTCATACCTCGAAAACAACGAAAATTACCCCCCCCCCCCACACACACACACACACACGAAAATTAGTGATATCACAGTATTTTAAAAGTGTTGGAACATACTGCTTTGACAAGAGCTAAAATGGATCAACATTAATTTTCATTTCAGCATTTTTTTTTCCTTTTTGCAAGAAAAATATTGTCAAAAGAAAAAGAAGAAGAGTTTCTGAATTTAACTTACTGAAATTTCAAATATGAATATGTGAAAATATCGCATCATAAGATAAGTAATTTCCTGCTTACCCTAAAGCTACTTTAGAATTTCTATATCGCATCACAAGAGGGTGTATAATACCCCTGAAACAAAAACAAAAATTTGCATATTTTTTTTCTTGTAGGTTATGTACTGTTAACCAACTTTTATTCGCGTGCAAAAAATATCCGCCAGTTTCGCGACTTACTTTTAACTCGCGAACATTAATCGCCACGAACCAAATATTTTGCTCTGTATTGAATGTTTCCACAGTCGCGAAAATTAGTCGTCGCGGATTGATTTCAAACTGACGATTCGCGAATAAAAGATGACGCGAATAATTGTTGGTTTACAGTATTTAAATCTGTTGGATATGTAGTAATATAACTTACTTGTTCATTTTTTAATTCGTTTATGGTCATTTAACCATAATTTAAAGAAGGTCTATTTTCGCCCTGTTTTGAATTTTTCTCTAGCTTCAGAGGCATTGTCAATTTCACTGTTTCACTACAGTGGCATTTTTCGTATCTATTCCGCTGCGGAAGTATATTGAAAACACTGGAGTGATCTAAGAAAAAGAAGCTTCAACTATCAATTTTCAAAATTCTAATTTGGCGCTTGATTTCACCATTTTCTTTTTTTCGTTGCTAAACGCTGATATCTGAATTAAAGGAGCATGACTAACTAAAGTAAATAATCATAATCTCCTGATACAATTACACAGTAGCTCATTAACAATTTCTCTCAAGATCGGTAGATACATTCCTTTTATACTTTGGAGTAATGAAACATCGATGATGGTTTAAACACTTAAAGTTCACCTTGTAACTTTACATGTTTACGGTTTACCCCTTTTCATAGGCCAAGGATTTTTGGTTCGCTACGGGAACGTACATGTATCGAGTCAAAAAGCCGTAGCTTGCAAACATGATTTTACTCTTGTGTGCAAAAAAGATTGAACAATGGTTTGTACAGCATTTAGCGTTCACAAATTTGCCAAAAATAATATGTCCATTACTTTATTCAATAATTCAAAAGTGACCAATAAAGATTCTGGTTTAGATTTCTTTATGCGCTCCGTTTCCATTGAAGTTTGAACCAGACGACAAATAGATTCTAACTCAACTTATTATTTAAAAAAAAAAACATGTTATTTACTTGTACGTTGAGAATTATATTAAGCTTGATGGAGAATATATACAGTTTTTTTATGCCAATAAGTTGATTTCTACACGGAAATCAGACGTACAACATGATCCCTATATTTCAGCTCTCTTCTGCAGACGACACAAAAAATAAGACTATACACAGTAACACAGAAGCAGATCTTTTATTATCATTACTGTGATAGGTTTTTGTAGGATGTAAAGGCTAGACCAATTTTTTTAATCAGCGATTTTTACAACCTTTGATTTCTAGTTCAGTAGTGTCAGCATATTACACTGATACATCTCTGTATACTTTATTAATTAGAAATATCCAGATGATAGCTCAAGCAGATAGCCGTTTTCTGATCGAATAATATAAGATCAAAAGACTGGACTCCTTAATGACGATCATAACCAAGATCTATTCTTGTGCTACGTTCTGCAAGTATACTTTTTCCCCTTAGAGTACATATAGGTTTACCTTTATATTACTGCATTTAAAACACCCAACGAATTATTTTAATGTGTGTTGAGCATCTTTACCTACATGGGTGCTTGAAGAACCAGGGATCATTTAATTTGAACCCTGATTAGGATGAAAGAGTGATGATCAAGTGTATGTTGTTTTACGTCCGATTCGAGAATTTTTCACTCATATAGAGACGTCACCATATACCGGTGAAGGGCTTGAAATTTCGACATTACTCGGCACTCAGGGCCATTGAGCAGTGAGGGATCTTTATCGTGCCAACGCCTGCCGTGACACGGGGCCTCGGTATTTAAGGTCTCATCGATATCCAAAGGACCCGCAACTTTCACTTCAAAGTGCCGAGCGCTTGGCGAAGAAATAGTTGCTACCTATTTTTTATCGACTTGGGTCAGCCGCGGCCGTGATTCGAACACACAACCTTCCGATCACGGAAAGAGGGATGAATTCAGCATCACATACTATTAAATATATCTATACTGAAAGGAAAAAGATACACTGTGTCGGCATTTGTGGTGATTTTACGTTTACTTATATATTAGAATGTTTTCCCCAATATTTAATACAACAAACTACCAAAATCTTATTTGATTTTTTGAGCTCTTGAAACACATTTGACGGTACATGTACCACCCCTCCCTGAAATCGCCTGACTAGTCAGTATTTCGTATGACCTCCCTCTGGTATCTATCACAGACCTGATTCGGTGCTGAGAATTCAACAATACGTTTATCCTCATGGGGAAATATTTGACTTTTTCAACATAGCTGCCCTTAGTCGAGAGAAGCAGGGGCATTCCAACGCCTTCTTACCCTGGACTGCACGGAGGCAATTTGAATAGGTTGATGTGATGATCTGAAAAAGTCTTGAACTCTGGCAACATGAGTACGGAGGTTATCAAGCTTGAAATTTAGCCATACGTTGCACACCTGCGCAAGTGAGAGGAACACAAACGGAAGGTCAATGTGGTCATGGACCAAACTCACGATAAATTCTTCCATTCTGGGGGCTGAAATTGACGATGAAGATTGCCTACTGTATTCATAGCAATTTCATTGATAGTATCGTGGCAATTACGCGGGGGGGGGGGGGGGGCAAAATGAGCAGGATGTGTTTGAGAAACACTGATGCACCCATATGGTAGCTTATGGCGAAGATTAAAAGTTTTTCAAATGCGAATCAAACTCCACCTCAAAAGATCAAAAATGTTGTTACCCAAAGAAATTTCTTGTCTCAAGGAATATAAAAATAAAATATGAAATCCCTAGCACCACGTTGAAAAGTATGGTGAAGGTTAAGGTTTTTTCAAAAGTAGGTCAAAACGTCAAGGTCAAGTTGAAATGGTCAAAATGAATGTTGCCAAGGGAAGGTCTTGTCAAAAAATACACAAAAAAATATCAATATTGACCGAGGCGAAGCCGAGGTCAATATTGATATTTTTCTGCTGAATAACAAACCATATTCACCACCGAAAGAGTCCATAATTGTTTTATTATATAGTCCGGATTTGAAAAAGTAAGACATTGAAGGCTGAATGATGATACCACTTTCATTTACGAACTTCTGTTGTGGAAAAATAAAAAAAAATGTCCAGATTACAAGTTATAGCTTCCGTGTTTTCCTTTTGCTGTTTGTAAGACATCGAAATGTTTAGAAAATAATCCTGCGATAAGCTTGGCAAAATGTTTTTCCTGCTCAGATACACAGCTGGCTCCGGCCGTTGCAACAATTGTTTACAACGTTGTTTGAGGTGTTGATTGTGACGTCACAATGCCGCTGCACGCGTACCGACCCTCCGGTGAATACGGCTTCAAAACCAGTGAATATGTAGTGTTATGAACTGTTTGCGTTTGTATAGATTATATAGGGACTATAAATAGACTATATAATAAAATATTTTACATACTTTCTCTCACTTAAAACAAATAATATATACATTATAAATATAAACAATAAAACATATTTCTTTGTGTGTTTATGCAGGGATAACTACGAAAGCCGGATAGGCTCATTTTTGACAAGATTAACCCGAGATAACTAACTCGTTATAACGAGATAACTAACTCGTTATAACTCGTTATAACGAGATACTAACTCGTTATAACGAGATACTAACTCGTTATAACGAGATGACTAACTCGTTATAACGAGATAACTAACTCATTATAACGAGATAACTAACTCGTTATAACGAGATAACTCGTTACAACGAGATACTAACTCGTTATAACGAGATGACTAACTCGTTATAACGAGATAACTAACTCATTATAACGAGATAACTAACTCGTTATAACGAGATACTAACTCGTTATTACGAGATAATTATCTCGTTATAACGAGTTAAATATTTTTTTTGTCTTGTCAAAAATGAGCCTATCCGGCTTTCATCTTAACGATAATTATCTCGTTATAACGAGTTAGTTATCTCGTTATAACGAGTTCGTATCTCGTTATAACGAGTTAGTATCTCGTTATAACGAGATAATTAAGTCGTTATAACGACTTAGTTATCTCGTTATAACGAGATAGTTATCTCGTTATAACGAGTTAGTATCTCATTATAACGATTTAGTATCTCATTATAACGAGATACTAACTCGTTATAACGAGATACTAACTCGTTATAACGAGAAAACTATCTCGTTATAACGAGTTAAATATTTTTTTATCTTGTCAAAAATGAGCTTATCCGGCTTTCGTAGATAACAGTTGCATTATTGCAGAAAATTTTGCAAATTTCACAGAAGCGACCAGACTAAACTTCTATTAGTCTGGATCAGAGAGACATGCCCCGAGTATAACTGCCTTACCTCTGTATAGTGTAATACTCTTACCTATGTATGTAGTGTGACAAAAACATAGCCAGGAATACATAGTTGATATAGGTTTTGTCATCAATTCCATAAAATACAAACACCTAAAAAAAATGATACATGTATCAAGGAGTACATGTACTTTTACATTAGATATATTTTAAATGCATTTATTTGAGGAATATCTACTAGGTCATTATAATACTTTTGTATATTTTATTCACAAAATATTGCTGTTAATAATATTTCATACACAGTTGAGCTTCAGTTTGTCATAAATAAATATCTGAAATACCATGGTTATTTCAGATTGAGTTGGAAATCCCAACCACTTTTTTCTTTAGTTATGTATTTTAACCTCAAAAATTGAATCCTCGGATACCAAAAAGTTTTCCAAAACCATTCAAGATAACAAGGTTTGACTGTATCACGATATCTATATTTTCTACAATTTAAACCAAGTACATGTTTCTTTTTCATACCAGTGTAAATAGCACAACCCCAGGTAGAGCATCTGATAGAATGTGTCCCAGCCTCTGGGGGATCAGGGGACCCCAGTTCTGATCCTGAGGTAAAGAATTAACAAAAACATTTCATCATACCTCAGGTTTTGTCAAATCTAACAAAGCTTTGGTTAAATTTCAGAAATTTTATCAACTTCAATACTAATAGTAATTTTATCAACTTCAATACTATATAGTAATTTTATTAACTTCAATACTAATAGTAATTTTATCAACTTCAATACTAAAAGTATATAAAGGTTCAAAGAACTGTTCTGTGACTTTGTGGTTAAAATCAAAATATAGATCTGATTCAGTTTATACTATACATGTATGATGCAAATCTGCCAATACCTGGTACTTTTACTTGGCTGAAACAGAATTGTACAGAACAAAAAATATTCACTTTGAGTGAAGAAAAATTTTATAACATTTTAATTAAATTGCTTCTGCCAAGTACCTCCTATTTTTGTAAATGTACAACCTGTTTCTGATCTTTCTGAAAGTCTTGCACAATAAATCAAGAGGAAAAAGAGTGTATTTAAGCATACAGTGACAGTATGTTTAAAAATCTGAGTTATATCATTTTTGATTTCAACAGTTAAGAAAATCTTACCCTTCTCTCATGTTTTCCATAGGGAGCCGGGTTTACCCACTGGGCCACTGCTGTGATAATGGCTAGGATAGCACCAAGAATGACCAGGCCATAGTGGACCCAATAACGGATAGTGTTTGTATCATACAATGTGTAGGGATGTACTGTGGGAAGACAAATCAGGCTTAAAATACAGAATTGTAGATGAATATAAGGGTCAATTCATTATAACCATATTCATTATAAGCATGTTTTACTGTATACACATGTACTACCAGTATTAACAAATGTATACAAAGCAAATTATTTATTTTGTCTTCATTAGACCATTCAATGACTACAAATATTGATTTTCTGTAAACATATTGGGTTTGAGTCAAATATTTTAGTAATTAAAAGGAATGCAACTAATTAGTTAATTACTCAGGACAGGGTTGAGTGCCTTGTTTTATTTAACGATATGGCCAGGAAGTGTAAGACCCCTCACTATGGATAAATAGACAATATAATCGGATTAAAGAATGTACATGTAGGGAGTTACACCAGGATGTATGTCTTGGGATGTCATTGCATGAACAGTATCCAAGATATTTTTAAATATTGCACTATACTACATGTAACTTCTGCTCTATACTGTTAATCAAAGCTGAAGCTTATGAAAGTTTATATTATTTTAATTTTGCCAAAAAACTAGTAATTTCCTAACTTTTATTGTATAATTGAACTTGTTTACATCATATGCAGGAAAATATTAAAAAATAAAATAAGCTTCAAACTTTCTCAAGGGTCATCTGCCACTATTTTAAACAACTATGTACATGCATCTTGTTACTTCTAAACGCATTTTAATTACTTGTATTTGAATACATTAAAAAGTTATGTTATGTAAGATAAACTTTGGTCCGCCATGAAAAGATAATATGACTGAAAGATCAGTGCATTGATGAAATTGTTCTCAAATGAAGAACTTGCACGTTGGGCTTGCATAAGGACCATTAAATCTTCCACGTGACAAAGTAACACAAATATTTACAAAAGGTTTTGCTGTTAAAATCTTGCAGCTACAGTAAGTAAACAAATGAAATATACATATTAACATTCATTTTAAAATCCATCCAAAAAAAAAATAATAGACTTACACTGGAGTGACATAATTCTTTCTACTAACTGATCTGTTTGGTTTCATCGAAGTGATTAGATTTTCACCGCATAGCCGACACCACCACCTGTCAAAAATAACATTTGTACTTTCACTTTCGTGTTGACATTTAGTCACTAACATATCGTACCAAAAATGATTCGTAACTGCTTGCATGGCTAAAGAAAAAAGCCCGATGAATTGATGGAAAGGTAGCCCCTAGGTTGTGAATATTTATGCTCCTTATGGCATGCTAAGTATTTTCTAACTTGTTCAATGCTTGTACAAACTTGAGACAGACATTAGCATCTTTAAAAAAAAAGGGGGGGGTTAATTCTTGACAAGGGTAAAAAAAAAAATGAAAAGGGGTAATGGGGAAGATTCATAAAAGTCATATTCTTTTAATTTGGGGTCGGATGGGGATAGAATAAGATATCGATTCCATTTTCATTTATAGAGAAAAAAAATCGGAATTATTGTAACTGGAGAGGGTACTATTCATGACAATATTATTTAATATTTAAAGGCAATTGCTAACAAAAAGTGGTTAGAGGGGTTACCCTTCCGTACTCTCTTTTACATACACAACCCCCCCCCCCCTTCTCTCTTTTTTTTTTACTGTTTCAAACACTCGATCGATCTGCACACTCTCTTTACACGCTTTATACATCACTTCACACACACACTCTCTCTCTATTTCAACCCCCCCCCCCCCTTTTTCCGTCTCTCTCGTTTTACATGCGGAATGACCTCAGTTACGATCCTCTACTAAAACCGATAACTCTAATAGATCTAGTACAAGTACAGTGTATATAGCCTGGTTCCCGAGGCCTTCCGATGTGCACGCACAGGCCTTCTGTGCGTGCACATCGGAAGGCCTCGGGAACCAGGCTACAGTGTATATGTCTGTCCGTTACGCTTGGTGGTTTACATCTACATATGTACATGTAGATCACTCTTATCCACAACTCCTCCTATACCACTGAATAAGATTTAAAGAGACTTTCACAGAATCTTTATTGCATAGAGTCATTGCACCTTCTTTTTTACGGTTTAATCAGACATATATTTGCGGGTTTTCCCATAGCCAAATATATGGACACTGTCATTCTTCTATGATATTGGGGTACCCATCTCTTATCCAAGTGCAATGTCCTCTTATATATATCTCTGAATAAATTTTAATGAGACTTTCCCAGAATCTTAAATCTATTACACAGTGCCATTGTGCATCTCCTATTTTACATTTTGATCGGACATGCAGATATTTGGGCTTTTCCCATAGCAAACATGAACTTTACCATTTTACTCATATCGGAGCGGAGGTATTATTTTGTGAGCTCAGTGCTCACAGTACCTCTAGATTTTATTTTAAAATTTTCGTCTACAACAACGGATTATAATTTGTCTCATGATCAGATTTAAGTCTCATATCATATAACTACATAATGATAAACATATATAAAGAGTATATATATATATATTTACATTTCCAAATATTTTTTCTTAAGATTCTTTGCAAATTAGAATGCTGTTCATTTTCTCATGAACTACCATGGATGAGCATGAATATCTCCATTGTTACGTCATAATACCGTACTTGACGTCAAAACTATAGTGCAAACTGTTTTGCTTTAAAAATGACAGTTGAATGGTCAAATTTGTGGTAACTCATCAGAAAAATAATGTAAATATAAGAAATGAATTCAATTTTTGAAGATTCATGAGGTACATGAACTACAACACTTCACGCCGGCATATTTATCATGAAGCGCTAACGCGCTTCATGAAATATGCCGGCGTGAAGCGTCGTAGTTCATGTCCTCATGAATCTTCAAAAATTAAATTCATTTCTTAAATATACAAATTAAGATACCCTGGACAGTGACAAATTTGGTTCTTGAAAATGTTGGGCTACAAAATGATTCATTTTCCTACATGCATCTTTTTATTTGTATCAAAACTTGAATGTCATTTCTATCTGTATGCCCTGTTAGCAGCTGATTTTCATATATACAGAAAAAGCATATATATGCATAGCATTTTAGCGAGCACTGGTTCCTTCCACTAAATATTATGTACATATATTAAAATTTAAAGGATGTGTACATATGATTTAAAGTATGGCACCGTTTCCAATGTTCCCTAATCATTCCTAACATTCAAGATCTGTAGAAAAAAATGTAAAATTATACGCATTGCATGAATTCAAAATAGTATAAGTCCGTGTTATAAACGCCTTACAGGATCCTAAGTATAATTGATATATAGCAGTCACAGGATCCCCCGGGAATTAAGACGCAGATATGTTCAGGGGGAGAAAAAAATACTGCATCGATATCATCGCTATGTAATGGTACAGAACCTCCGCATTAGATCGCTCAAGTTTTTTTCCCGAGAGACTCAAAATGCATTATTTTGTATCAAACGACCTTAATAATTAATCAACTAAACAGGAATTGTCGCAGAATCTCGAATAATGTCTGCAGACACACCGTGAATTAATTGCTCTACATTTAGCCGGGGAAACCTCACGGACTTTTTCCGGGGATCTGAGTTCATGTGCGTATTACGTTAACGTTCGGCTTTTTCTCAGCCTAAGAAAGATTTCGTGCATGTTTACATTTTTCTTCTTGTAACGTTAAGGTGGGCGGGGGACATCTATTCGATTTGTTTTTACCTGTTGGAATGAATAATGATGTGACAAAAATTTCATCCAATCAAAATCGTGGAAGTTTTCGCCTGTTGGAGGCCATCTTAAATTGTCTATTTCTGTGAGGATCGTAGATTATTGTGAATTTTCTCTTTCTAGGTAAGACTGTTTTCTTTTTATCTTTCTCAAAATCAAAAATATGCCAGACAAATGTTGGGAATTAATTTTATATTTATTCATATTAAAAAAAACTTTTAAAAGTGTTTAACTATGAATTCAAACAATTAGAGTTTGCTTTTTAAATGTATATTTTGAAATGAAATTCAAGTTTCGACAAGTTTTTATTTATATTTTAAAAATTTAACATATGCGAGAGATTTTTACAACGGATTTTGTCGGTTTTTCGCTCATACGAAGTTATGTTAATCCTTGAAATAGTAAGGCATTTCTAATGCAAGATAATTCATAAGAATTACAAAATACACTATACACAACTTCCTTAAATAATGTTGTCACTGAAGTCGGAAATTCCCAATTGACCTTTGCGTTAAGTAAGTGTAAATTAACAGTTGATCTACATCAAAATAACATGGAATTTACCTACAATATATGTAAATAATGAGTAATTACTTATATATGCATGATTTACCGATATCTTATTCTTCGGGCAAAATTCGATAATATGTTAGATATGGACCATACTTTGTTAACGGGAATGCAGTAATTGTGTCGCACCCATTAGCGACCTTGATAAAAGCCTGGAAAAATCATTAAACGAGGGACAATATTTGAGCATCATTAAACGAAGCAGAATTGAATGCCCTTTGTCAGAATTTGCATCATCTATGGAGATTATCAAAGTACAATATTTCTATCTATACTTGCATTTTAAAGATTAGGCAAATTATTAAGCACATGATATTTAATTCTTGCTATTTCTACTATCTGGCGTAATTGATCTAAACTTTTTTTTTTAGTATTTTTTATCAGGTAAAACCCGAATTCTTAGGGTAAATACAGTAATATAAATTTAGCATTAATACCCGTGGTATTTAAATCACTATACTACGTAACCTTTTTTTTAAAAAAAAGATCTTTTTCGTGCAATTCATGACCTCGACTAGAAAATGTCCATATCAAATTCTTACTTTTGAATCAGTATATTCTGTCTTTTACCGATTAAAAAAATACTTTATTTAATAAGATTTTTTCTTTTATGATTTTTCATTCTTGCTGAATTTGTCAGGAATGAAATTAAACGTGTACCAAAAAATTTACTCAAGATCATAATAAAATCATATACATGTATATAATATATAGATATTTCATCTTGGTGTAATATCTTGTAAATTTCATTTTATATTGTCAAATAGAACACACACGTCTTGCAACATTGAAACAAACACAGCACTTCTAATGCTTGATCATATCTCTAAAACATTCAAGAATTCATGAGAAATATTTCTGTCTTCCGCTTGTAAAATTCTTGTTTTTAAAACATTTCCCACCTGACGCTCGCCTTTCCGTCGGTAAAAAGTGCCGCTATCAAATGCTTAACATGGCGCATAATCTCAAAACCCCCGCCGAACTCTTATCTAAGGAAAACGCGCGTGCAGACTTGTGTGTGCTTCAAGATCTTGCGCGTGAGGCGGATTGCTGACACGCGTTTGAAACGAACCACAGATAAAGTACAGAGAAGATAAAAGCAGATTGTGTACTTTGAAGCACTTACCACTTCACAGATATTGTTTGGCTTAAAGCCTTTTACCTGAGAGCGGAAATTGTGGAGTTATGAATAACTCGTCCAAAAATCGAAAATCTTTTTAGAACGTTTAAAAATGTTTATGCAAACATCATGAACCATTAAACACGGCGAGATCATAAGAGTATCCGAACTACCTCTAAACAAAGTGATGAATTACAGAAAATTAAGTCGTGACATATTGCGACCTCTATATTCGATACCCGCATAGAAACCTCGCAAAATTCTACTGGATAGGAACTCGATATTCGTAGGAACCTGACGAGATCAGAAATGAATGGCCGGGTTGGGAGGGGATTTTCTATTGTAAATTTCCTGTCAAGTTGATACAGGCTTTGTAATAATTCATATATATACGGTATTGCACTTGCCCAAGGTCACTCTGGACTATATAGCCAAAATGCTCGTCAAGCTCTGTATGGCTGATATAATAAAGAAATAAAGGACTATGTGGGATGTACATGGAATATAAAAAAAATGGCATCTTGATAAAATATTTGCAACATATTAGGAAGATTGCAATTTTGCAATTATTATGCATATGATTATAATCCTAAATAGAACTTCCACTCAGTGGAGTCTATGTTGTTTAATAAGCGCATACTCTGAAAAAAAGAAAATAAAAAAAAAACAAAAAACGGTGATACCCGACACTACCGAACAAGAATGTGATATGCCACACATTATATCACACTGTAACGCTTGTGGCAAATAAGGTAGTTAAGATTTCAACCAATGCAAAATGGTCTGTGCCAATATGTATACATATACATGTATCGGAGCCAACGCCTCCCACATCACGGTACTCTGTATGCTTGTTTTTCAAAGTCTCTCCACAAAAGATCACCAGCTTCATAATTACTTAATCAAAATTCTGCTTGATTAGAGATTTACAACCTTATATATATTTTTACGTCTCAGCTGTGGCCGGCCGGAATAGATGTCCTTTCGGCGTATATTTCTACGCTGGGCAGATACAGTATTGATAAAACTGTATAATTTATTTTCAGAATGTCACAGGAAATCATCGACCTCGAGGATATAGTCCGGAAGTGGGTGAATGACTTCCCATTGGACAAAAATCAGAGGAGGGAAGCAGACGATATTCTCTCTGCCGACATAAATTGGAACCATATGCGCGTGCGTCATGGAACTACGGAATATTACGATCAAATCCGAGTCAACACTCCGAAAACTCACGTGCTTTTTACTGCTCATTTCAGTAACGAGACAGACCAGAATCAAGTTTATACTTTGAAAACGGAGCGCCGAACAAAATCCACATGTTCAATTTCAATACAGAAGTCATTCACCTATGGTTACAATTTAGACTTAAAACTGACCCCACCAAATCCAATTATAGAGGCGAATGCAGGGTTCAAAGGTGAACTCAGTCTGACGAAATCAGCCAATGAGACGTTCGAGGAAGAACTGGTATGGTCGGTTGACAACCAGATAACAGTTCCGTCAAAATTTGAAACCAAAGCAGATCTGGAAATAAAGGAAGATGAATACGCTAGCCATTTCAAAACTGAAAGTAAATTTGAGGGCAAAGTTCACGTGACGCTGAGAAGCAAAAAGGACAATACGCCCTTGGCGACAGTAACAGGTGATGTGAAGCAAATCTTTACCCCGGATAAAGGATTCCGGGTCGATAAGACCGGGGTGTACTTTGTGACTATTGGAAAGTGCAAATGTAGGTTTGGAATTGAGCAACACGTTCGCTTGAGCCAGAGTGAACTAACTCGATCAGAAGAATTAGAGTCCTAAAAATCCTGTTTCCTTGCATCTCTACTTCCGGTTTTGATATAATTCAAGATGAAGTGGTCATTCCAATATATTTTTGTTCTTGACAGGTGCTTCAGTGCAAATATTTTTTAAAAATTTATTTTTAGAAGGCAATTCTGAAATAGTGGATTCAAATATATACAGTCATACAAAACAATATTGTAAAAGCATTGTAAATTTACTTAAACACGACAAATATTTTTCTTTAATTTTACACTTATTGACAGGAGGATATCAATTTCATAACCACGCCAAAAAAATGTTGTTTTTTTTTAACTTAAGGACACATAACACAAACAAAAATTTGATGCATGGATTGATCTATATTTTTTGACTGATTTTGCATGGAAATGACAAATATTAAATCCCTGAAATATTAAGAAATCGTAAGTTTTCTTTGGTGCTTAAATATGCGACTTAATGTCGTTTTCGATGTAATTCTATACAAAATTTTGCACCCATTTTTTCACATTGTGACGAAATCTTTCAAAATTCTCCACTTTACCTGGCAAACATTATTCAGGCTACATATCTTAATACATTATAAATCTATGAGAAATATTGCTGATTTCTGAAAAATTTTGTTTGTGTTATTTATCCTTAAGAGATTCTTCTCATTGAATCTCAGAAAATGAGATAAATTAATACGCATTGAAAACTGTATTTGTTGTTAAAAGAAAAATAAAACCAAAACCAAAGAATGAATGCGGCGTTGTTTTCTTTTCCGTATTTCATTGTGCACTATCCAATTAACTTTACCTCACAACACCTTCTCTGAAGTATTTATGTTTTTTAGGAGTAATTTTTATTATTTCCTATTGCAAACCTGAAACTAACTTCAAAGAACATTAAAGTAAGTTTCTAAACCAAAAAGAATAAAGCGACCACAATTAGTCTGCAAAGTTTGACCCAGTTTTAGCTCACCTGAGCTGAAAGCTCAAGAGAACTTTTCCGATCACATTTTGTCCGTCTGTAAACTTTTCACATTTTCGACTTCTACTTCAGAACCACTGGGCCAATTTCAACCAAACTTGCCTTAAAGCATCCTTGAAGTTGAAGGGGATTCAAGTTTGTTCAAATAAAGGGTTTCAAGGGGAGATAATCAAGAAATAGTGAAAATTTGGTGGATCTTTTAAAAATATTCTTCTCAAGAAGCACTGTGCCAGAAAAGTTGAAACTTATGTGAAAGCTTTCTGTGGCAGTGTAGATTCATTGGGCCAAAGAAAAAAAAACTTATATGGAACCTTCATTACATAGTCGTGTAGATTCAAGTTTGTTAAAGCCATGACCCCCGGGAGTAGGGTGGGGCCACAATGGGGGATCAAAGTTTTACATAGGAATATATAGGGGGAAAAATCTGTAAAAGTCTTCTTCTCAAGAACAAGAAAGCCATGATTAGTCATAGCATCCTCAGATAGTTTCGAATCAACTTTGTTCAATTCATGACCCTCCCTCCTCCCCCCCCCCAACAACCCCCATCCCATATCCGGGTAGAGTGGGGCTACAATGGCCAATCAATGTTTTACATAGGAATATATCAGAAAAATCTTCCAGAATTTTCTTCTCAAAAACAGCAAAGGCATGATTAGTCATATTCATATGAAAGCAAAGTCAGGTAGTGTAGAATCAATTTGTTTCAAATCATGCGGTGGTAGGGTGGGGCCACAATGGCTGATCAAATTTTCCACGTGCAATTTCCAGAAATATACTTATCGTTCGTTCAACGAAAACTTCCGATAGCATCAGGTGTCTCATAAATTTCAAAAGCAGGAAGGTTTGAAGCAAGAACAAAATCATCAGGTGTCTCAAAAATTTCAAAAGCAGGATTCTACCAAGCAAGAACAAAATTAACGATCTTAAGAAGGATGTTTAAAAAAAAAAAAGCAATCGTCTGTGAAGTGATGAAGAGACTTCAGTAAAGTAATTCAGTGATATTAAAAAAAAAACTAAAGGTGAATTTGAGAGGAGTGCTGAATTGTTTATATTTAAAGCCTTGGCTTTTTTCGATATATTAAACAATTCACTCCATGATCATGATCGTGAGGGAAATTTGAAGATTTATTCAGCCAAAAACATTCTATTCCCTTAGCTCGGGCGAAGCCCAGGAGGGATATGTTTCTGGTCTCTGAATAAATCTTCATATTTCCCTCACAGTCATGCAATAATATTTCATAATTATGATCTTTAGAATTTAATGACGTAATTATACTTCCTGTGTTTTTGACTCTTCAGTCATTTAATGACGTAACTTTACTTCCTGTGTTAATGAGAATGTCGTAACCAGATATTAATTTTATTAATTAAACCGTTCTCTCTCCAATGTGTAAAAAATATTGATAAGTCTCTCAATATAGATCCCTTATCAAATTTTATTATTTTAAACTTGCTTTCAAATGACATTTAAAACAATATTTTGTCATTCATGGATTTCATTAGCCGAACAAACGTAATTAAGCGTCACTGTCACCATAGTTACAAACTACTTCCAGGCCACAGGACGTTCGATCCTTCAAATTAAGATATTGGTTTTCTGTGCTTTCAAAATTAATAAGAATCAACATTTAATTAATGATTTGTTTTGACATCTCTTGAATTATGTGATCTTTCATGCCAAGTTAATATAATTTGGGTTCCGACAATCTTTTATCCTAAATAAGAAAGTTTGGCATGTATCTTTTCTGAAATAGAAATTAGATTCCGTGTAAATTTTAATCCTCTTAAACTGAGAAATGTAAAATAACACGGATTTTTATAAATAGTACATCATGCATTGTATACATGTATCCACAGAGTTAAATTTGCTATTACCTTTTTAGAGAAATTTCTTAATTTTTCATTATATTAATAGCTCTTACTCATTTTCATATCTTATTCTTGAAAGGTCGTTTTTTTTTTAAATTCATTTATTTTTATTTTTTTTTCTGCTGTGTAATATGCTAACTTCATCTGTCAACGAGAATTGTTTTAATCAGATCCTCTTTCAATCTCAAGTAAACTGTCAAAACATCGTTTTCCACAGTTTTCTGTCATTTCTACTTTATGAATTATGTGTATATTAAGCCTGAAATCGAATAATCCTGTGCCTGATATGTTTAATTATCAGTTTAAGATGCCGCCTACTCTCACCATCCTCTCATCACGGCTAATGACAAAGCTTCATTACTCATTTAATCTCCTATTACTGTCGACTTTGATAATTAATGAAATGATCAAAATACGCACAGTGTAACCATATAAGGTGTCTTTTATTATTTATTGATCGGTAGGGTATCATCCAATATTTCTCCTGCTGTCTACAACTGGGCGCTAAACAATATATTGACTCTAGCATTGGTCATTAATCTGTTGTCATGGCAACGATTTGCATTATCTGTCTAGTACCTTATCCCATATATAGCGGCGATAATGATAATGATAGCTTTGCTCGAGCTTTATCGTTAATATACCTTAATTACGGCACGGAATGGCAATCTTCCTTAAGTTTTATTGATGTTCATATTGTAGGCCCAGTCACGTTGGGTCGAAATCAGACTGATGTTTATTGTGAAAGCAGTCATTTTAGCTTTTAATCAACAAATGGAAAAATTGTTCTGACTTGTAAAATAAATATTCAATCATTTTATTGTTTGTTTAGAATTCTTACAGAAAATATTAATAAATATATTTAGTCCTGTAAGAATGGTAAAAATTGATAATATATTTTTATCATATCCCCCGCTTCAAAAAAAGTGTGTGTGTGTGTGGGGGGGGGGGGTATATAGTGTCTGTTACACTTCCGTACACCCGTCCATTACACTATGCCATTATATTCATATTGGAGCAGGGGGTATCATTTATTTTGTGAGCTCAATGCTCAGTACCTCTTGTTTTAAAGTGCGGCTACCGGCCGGTTAGTACATCTTCGCAACCCAAGGATTTTCGGTCAAATGCGCTCTCTGTTGGGAACAGAATGGACTATAAAAAAAACTTTGACTTGCGAAGTTCTAATAATTATCCATTTATTATAGTACCTGAGCTGAACAATCATTCGCAACTTCTCAGGCCTTTTTGAGTATGCCGGAAAGACCCGAGAAGATGCGATTACTGTAACTATACATTTGGTCATCGCACAACAAAAGCAGTAAACCTAACATTTAAAACCTTTTGTCATCTCTTACATTTATTCATGTTCTCTCAAACCAATGTATGCACGTTATAGTCTTCTCCTTAGCAATATATTCTGTGACTCAAACGTCGATACGAATATGGACTCTAACGACCATTTTGGGAGGTAAAATTTACATAAAACCATTGAGATGTTATAAGGATTTCGGTTTTTATGTTGAATGTCTGGCCTGGTGAAAATGGGAAACAATAGATATGAATAAACATGTTTGAATTTTCTTTTATTCCATCTTGAATGCGCTAACCCCCGCGAGATGCATGTGTTTATTAACGTATTAAAATACCAGTGATATACATGTATTCATATTGTAGCACATATCTGAATATTCAATGTCCTATCATCAGAAAGGAAGGGGTTATAGTTTTTGTTATGTCTTTGTCTTTTTGTCACTTTGTTTGCAAATTAAAACCATAATAATAACTTTTGAAGCAACAATATGGAAAAATCTCTGAAAACATCTTAATATTCAATGTCCTATCATCAGAAAGGAAAGGGGAATATTGTTTTTGGTATGTCTTAAGTTGTCTTTTTGTCACTTTGTTTACAAATTAAAACCTTATATCAATAATTTTTGAAGCAACAATATGAAAATTTATATCTGGTATACAGTAACTTATAAATGACCAGAGATTCTGTGTGGATCCTTAGTCATTTATACAGGGTCAAAATTACAGGGATTTATTATCCAATTCAAAACTTTTTAAGTGAGAAGATTCGTAGCCATTCAAATTGGACAAATTCAAGACTACATCTCTGGTCCAATGTCGGGGTATTTACTGTGTCTGAAAAAAAGCATCAATTCATTATAATTCAAAAAAAAAATATGTAGATTTGGATCCTTACAAACTAGCGTGTTATAGAAAGGATTCAAATTTTAAAAATGGGGTCATTGTGGTAATAACAAAGAACGAGGGCGCTTTTGATTGGCATTCAGCAGGAATCTGGGCGCACTTGAAAAGTGAAAATTTCATTGATCTGTCACATGAAGTTTTAGCATTCTTTTGATGTATCGGGTTCCTGTGAAATAGGAAAGGAAAATATTTTACCGATATTATATTTTGATTTGCTAAAAAAGAACTTGAAAGTTGGCTAGATGAGTCATTTGGTAAAAAATGTTACATTTTTAAACACATTTTTCTAAAAATTTGCTATCTCTGGGTCATCTCTCCATGATTTTGAAACTTTATTTGTGTGCATTTTAATTTAAAGAAACTAACAAACATTTATAAAAAATGGAGAGAAGACCCAGAGACGATGAAAAATGAACTTTTCCCAAAAATTTCCAATGTGTAAATGCGGTGCTTCATTGTCGCTTTAAAAACATTGAAGTGTGTATAGCAGTGATAGCTCAGTAGTAAGCGTTACCCGTCCAGTGCAATGAAAAAGAAATATTTTTAGGTTCGATCCTCGCATGGAGCGTTAATATTTTTTTTTAGTACAAACAATCAATACTTTTGTCAGTTTAATTTTTGAACTGATTTATTTTCAAATAGATAAATTCTGGTTCTGTTTCACCGAAAGCGAAAGCAATTCTTCCAACCTACTGATACTTTAATGTATACAAGTATGTACTTGTAATTGCATTTAACTATACCCTATATGTGTTTATTATTCATGTGAAGCGTTACTAAGTTTTATATGTAGTAATTATTAAGATAAGCGGACTGATATATTAAAATTGGCAAAGTATTTCAAACTAAATGTAAAATTTTCCCATGTGCGTAACTTTGTAAAGTATGTCCAGCTGTGGTCAATCGACCCAATCGTATAGACATTTAAACTATAAATGTTTCGTGCGTCTTATTCCTGCAGATCACACGCCAAACACGCCCATCTTCTTTTATTCTTATCAAATATAAACTTTCCTTAAAACAGTAAGGATAAAAACCAATCTGATTTAAACTGACACGTTTTAAAATTTTAAAAATGCGCTAATTAATTGTTGAAAAGTGTATGAGGCATACCCAGTACATGTATGTCAAAAAATGTCGTAAGTTTAACGAATGGGACCCCCCCCCCCCCAAGTGCGTTCCCTTAAGTTTATATTTTACAAAGATACACAATGTACCAGTAAATTTTAACGCGGAACATTTTTTTTTGGGGGGGGGGGTGTTTCATGACCCCAGATCTTTCAATTTCTTGCTAAAAGTGAAAAAAAATCCCATATATATATTAACTTATTTCGAAGATGTCTAATGTTAGTGTCGATCGTGCAGCTTCCTCGTCTTACATTGAATTGGACCCATACAAGCACATATGCGCTATATATCATACACAGGGGCGGATCCAGGAATTTCAGTTAGGGGACCAGCAAGTCCGGGGTTGAGTCCTGGTGCTCCTGATTAAAAAATTAGCCTCCGTAGCAAATATTTTAAGGAAATTTTAGCATAAAAAATTGCATATAGAAAAAGCTTTTAGAAAAAAGAAGTTAGAAAGGATTTTTTGTGCCGCTGCTGGATGATGACCAATGTGTATTTTTAAAAAAAAAAAAATATGCTCGCTGGTTTTGACTATATTATGATGTCATATATTTCTTTAATTTCCTACAACAGCATATCAAAGTATTTCATACCAAAAAAATTTCAAGATTTTTCAGTTTCCATAATTACTTCATCAGCATCGGAATCTGAAATGTATATAAACTCTTGCCGATCGACGATCTTCATTTTTACATATATATAAAAGCCATTCTTCTTCATTTTCTAAATTTAGTAAAGAAAAAGATCTATTTTTAAAAAAAAAAAAATCTGAGACAAGTGACATTTCAGCATTCAAATATCTCAAGAATTATATGATATCAACTAGCCAGGTTTGTATTGTGGAAATTGCTACATAGGGAGTTCATTTCTCCCAAAATATTTATTGCTTGAAATCAAGTAAAATCCATGATGTATATGTACATGTAACCTTGATTAGTCATCCCAGTAAATTCTTCTCTATTTTATAGTTAGATGTAACCTCCCCCCCCCCCTTTCAAAGCTGTTGCGATCAGTTTTCTGGAATCAGTCTCAGGGGACTTTCAATAATTAGCGTTAATTACACTTTTATTGAGTTCACCCATGGATTACCCAAAAGCTAAAACGGACATACGTATTTTCTTGTCATGCAAGAGTACCAATTGCAAATCTTATGAATATATGTACATGACTGTATCTGTTTCCAACAAATTTTTATATGCACATTTTTTAAATATCATGATAGTTTTACCCTTTCTTTTTCCCTTATTTATAAATAAGACTTATTTAGGGCTACTTTAAGAAGCTCTAAATACACATGTAACCTAGCTAAGTTAGGGAATATTGGTGGGAGGGGTGCGTACGTCCCCTCTAAATCAGCCAGTGAATTAGAGTTATTATATGCATTTAGAATATTTATGATTACCCAGCTTCTCGATCCATTAAAAAAAATTCTGTCACATTTTCTTTTTTCTTTTTTTTGGAACAGTTAAAAATACATGTATTTATTCTCTCTTGTGTCAAAGATTCGTCCTACCAAATTCCTTGTACGCTTTATCCACACTTCACTTCCGGTTAAAATGAAAGTTGTTGTTAGTGACTCTCCTGTCTCCAGAGGCCTGAGAGGGTATGGATGATTACGGACTATCATTGCGTTTTAAGACGATATACAATAGGATTGTTGAAATTGTTCTCTGATGGCGTCCGGGGATCATCTTGACCCGGGATTTCACGACTTTATTAAAAGTGTCTGCAGACGTCGTAGCTTGGAGGTAATCTCTCTCTCTCTCTCTCTCTCTCTCTCTCTCTCTCTCTCTCTCTCTCTGAGACTTGATTTCTCTCTTTTTTCCTTCACATACACTATAATGCAATTAGTAATTTTCCCACTTCATATTTGACTGCCATTATTGCGATTGCCCAACTCAGCAACCTACTTGATTAAACATGCCTGTAAATGAATGATGAATTTTAAAAAGTGCATCTTGATAATTTAGGAGGAAAAGGAATTTGTCAACCATGAACTGGAGCAAATCAAAGAGAGCTTGGAGAAAAACGGTGTTTTACAGGTGGGATATTATGGTCCAGTCCACACTTTGTGAAAGGTGTTTCCCTTTGTGGGGTCAATCAAAAGGTCAATACTGAAAAACCTAAGATTTCTCTTCATTATTCTACCTAATCCGAGATTCCTCTGACTCCAACCCCTGCTTTTACATTTTGACATGTGCACATGTCAAAATATAAAAGCAGGGGTTAGAGTCAGGAATCTCAGATTATACTCTACCAAACATTATGGCATGCTGCTACAAATTTACTTGTTTAATTTTTTTCTTTCAATACTTAGGTAGCCCCATCCTGGGCTTATAAAATAAAATAAAATATTAATACTAAATAGCCATACATTTACAAAGATCATCAAGTTCAAGATAATGAGGTTTGACTATACATGTATTTGTGTAATTTACATCAATTATGGAGCATCATGCCAATTATTTTCTTAATTTGCTTTTCATATGTTATAAGAGAGATGTACATTAACTTAGTTCCTGAGTTATCCAATGATCTAATGATTATCTAATGATTAAAAAGAAATCTTTACCCTCATTAATACTGCATGGAGTTTGATACACAATTTGCAAAAGTTTATTTTTACTGTAGGACTCGGTGTATGACTATCTATGTCGTCTCGTGTTCTGTCACATACTTGGATATGATGTCTCTTTTGGTCTCATCTACCCAGTAATGCTGGCAATGCAGGGCTCTGGATTAGAGAAAAGAATAGGTATAAAATTTGTATGAATGAAAAAAAAAATGAATTTATAATTAAGGAATGAATTTAATAGCTACCTAATTTATATGGTAAAAAGTGGGTTGGAGCAGTTTACGCTTTATAAATGCGAAGCGGTTTATAAAAAAGCGTAAACTGTTCCAACCCACTTTATACCAGATAAATTGGGTAGCTATTAATTTCATTCCTTATAATTTAATTTTCATTCATTTAGTGTAAAAAAAAAAAAAAGGTGATTACCCTTAAAAATTGTTTTCAAATTGTAAAAAATTTAAATGTAACGTCAGGCGGATCGATACGTTTTTAACACAAGTCATTGTGACATAGGCAACCCAATTTACACGATATAAAGTAATTTTTTATCCAATCAAATACCGCGTTATAACCAGAATTAAATTATTTTTAAATGAAAATGAATGAAAAAATGAATTTTTTTTTTTTTCCGTTTGTAAAATTTTTGTTCATTTTCTCTTCTGAGTTTTAGCAACTGTAAATTTTTACTTGTACATGCTGAAGGAGAAAAATATAAACATCCTACTTAATACAGTTGAACTTCAGTATCTTGAACATTGATATCTGGAATACCATAATGGATATGTCGTAGTGATTTAGAAGTCCCAACCCCTTTTTCTTTAAGTATTTTACTATCAATATATTTCAATATCTCAAATCCTCAGATATCTTGAAGTTTTTTCTTGGTCCCATCAAGTTCGAGATAATAAGATTTGACTGTATATTCAAAAGTAGGGGTTAGCAGAATTTTATGAGAGGGGCAGGTGGGTGGGGGATACTTTGTTTACAGTCAATCCTCAGTAATCTGGAATCCAATCTTGACCGACTGGACAACATAATTGTCATTTATATCGATCAATGAAAAAAGCAGAGCTGCCAACCCTTACGATTTTGGTGTAAGACATGGTTGGAGCATCTGAAATATGCCTTTGGTTATGATTTATCTTTATTCATCAGATTTCCCTTTTTCTCTGTCAAAAGTTTGAAATGCAGTAATTTTTAGCTTACCTCGATTAAGTCGACATGAGCTTATGCTATACCCCAACGTTGGCATCAGTGTCCCCGTCAAAGTTTTAGGAGCAAGTCCATTCCCAAGTAACTATAACTCCTACCTGGACAAACTTGCATGGATGATGCATCTAGGGATGGACACTACCAAATTAAACTTGCTTCGATGCTGGATCTGACCTACATTATCCAGTTGAGTGACCAGGTTAAAGTTTTTGGAGCAGGTCCATTCCCAGTAACTATAAGCCTACCTGGACTAAACTTACATGGATTGTGCATCTAGGATGAACGCTACCCAACTTGCTTTGCATGCTGGATCTGACCTACATTTGACATACAGTCAAACCTCTTTATCTCAAACTCAATGGAATCTAGAAAAAAACTTTGATATCTGAGGATTCAAGATATCAAGGCTAAAATACTAAAGAAATAAATATGTGGTTTGGACTTCCAATTACTTTGACATATCCATGGTATTCAAGATATTGGTGTTCAAGATACCAAAGCTACACTGTAAATTAATATCTTAAGGTATTCAATGTATAATGACCATATTTTGTATCTAATAAATGAATAGGGCTGTGTCAATATATCGATTAATCAATACGTATCGAATATTCAGGAATGTATCGTATCGAAAAATAACTTCCAATATGTATCGGGCAGGCAGTTTTTCTTATAATTCTGTGAAAAAGTTGGGAATTTCAGTCACCAATTTGAAAGGTTATTTTTAACTGTTTTGAATTAAAAATGATCAATAATGAAATAAACATTAAGGAGATAGCACATCTTAAATAACTATTACAAAATACATAGACAACTATATTTTATCATGTTAGTTTTACAATCATTAAAAGTTTGAATTTGAAGTGTACTTTGTAAAGACAGTGAGACATGGACTTCCAATTTGGTAATAAAACATCCAGTTTTTGTCAAATCTATGAATTAAATGATATACAAGACTTTTTTGATAGACTTTTTAAAGAATCCAATATATCGCATATCGCTTTATGAAATATCGTATTGTATCGTGTCGAAATATTTTGCTCAATACACAGCCCTATAAATGAATGGTCCGATATTTTTGATCATGGTAGCATTTTGAAGGTTTATTAAATAAAAATACTCCACCAAAGGAATTTACAAAATTTTGATTATTGTCCAATTAATTGCACCTTGATTTTTACATTGAAGTCTATGGGCAGTGCATGTTTTACTAAGATATTGTGAAAAGTAATTTGAACTTCATACAAATCTCTTGGTGAAAATATGCATAAACTCTCTCTTTATTAAAATATGAAATAAAATGAATTATTTACCACATATATTTTGACAAAATTAAAATTTTCTTCTTTTCATCAAGGGCAGATAACTCTTCAAAAATGTTTAAGGTGCAAAATAGCCGGCTTCTTATATGTTATCAGTTATGTGAATTTAGTTCATTTCACTTTCATGGTTATCTTTAGTTAGCAATATATATTTAACTAGTTTAAAATGATTTAAAATTGTTCAATATCCCTTTATTATACATTGAATACCTTAATTACTATAATTAATTTTATATACACAGGTTACACCACAGCCATGTTGCTCCTTCACTCAGATCATGAACTATCTCTTTTTTTGTTGAGTAGCATTCAGATGGTAAGGAACGTCTCATTCGATATTGTATTAAATATTCAAGGTAACAACTGATTTGGCCTCGAAATAAATTTCTGTGTTATGTATTCAGATTAATATTTTAAATGTCTGAACAAGTTGTTTGTAATATTCTAAAATATTCTTTGTTATATTATAAAATTGCTCCTATCCGATCATTTTTTTTTCAGTACTTTAAATTTTATATATTTGTTCTCTTTTGCAAGAAATACAGATTGTCCATGTCATTTCAAAAACACATTTAGATTGAATAGCAATAACATTTAGATTGACAGCAAGAATTATTAAATCTGTCTAGCTGTCCCGCGTATAATAAAAACATCTATTGATTTTTTAGTTTGTGACTTTATTATGATTATCAATGTGTAGATAATTAAAAAAACCTATCCAGCTTGAAAATTGTGGCCCAGAGTTCATCAAGACAAAAAAAAAAATTAATGATGGCCTGGCAGGGTTGTTCTTAAGATTTGAAATAGCAGGGGACATTAAAAAAGTAGAAGGGGGTCTGTGGTTCCTCCCCTAAGAGGAGGCTGAGGGAGAATACCAGAATAACCGGGGGATTACATTATTATAGGCGGGGAAATTTCCCTGCCCCCAGGTCTTAGGGACAACCCAGGCCTGGGCTTATTCCTTTCTGTAGTAGAGTCAAGCTTCCCTAAACCACACACTTAATTGTGTTTCAAAGTAAAAAATGTGGATTAATGGAGCAGTTGAATTACTGTACCAAACCTTTCTATAATTGGTATATAAAAATGTTAATTCTGTCCTTCAAAAATTCATTCTGAAGGTGAAACATCCAGATAACAGCATCTGGGATAACGAGGCTCCACCATAAAAGAATATTTCTTAGTAAATTGCTGCAAGGCATAATCTGTGAGGAAGATCAATTGCAAAAGACCTTATTTTGCTGGAAAAGAAATATTTAACCATTAAAAAACCATTAATCCACATTTAGCTTCCAAAGTTTTCTTTGAGAGAGTCATTAGGTAAACAATGTACAGTAAAACAGTTTTAGGGATAGACGATTTTGCTTCATTTTAAATGTAATTCATTATAAACCATTAAGTTCACAAAATATTTCAAATCCACAGGGAATGAAAATCTCTTCGCTGTAAGCATGTTTCCTATAAGCATGTTTTACTGTATTTCATAGGAGCTGAACAACATTTGTGACGCAATAGATGCTGACATAACAAAAATTCCCCGGAAAACAATTGCAGTAAAACTTGGTTATAAAGAACTCATTTATAAGGAATTAACCTTTGTTATAAGGAATTTTTGAAGACTTTTCCTTATGTTCCTTATACGGATATAAAGAATGTCAGTTATAAAGAAGCCAAATTTGAGGTCCCAGTCCAAACTGAATTAGGACTTCTGGATCCGGGGCCATAAAACTTAGACAAGCTCACTTTTGATCTCAGTCTCACTTTTACTGAAGGAATGTATAAGGGAAAAGTGAGACTGAGATCAAAAGTGAGCTCATCTATAAATGTAAGTTTTATGGCCCTGGAGCCTGCTTTTGAATGAGCCTTTTTGTAAACATTAATGATTTTTTTCTTTTACAGGACCTGAATAGGACTAACATTTTGGATAACTGTATTGCATTGTCAGCTGTCTGTCATCTTGTCAACTCGAGGGAAGAATACGTCAGCATGTATTTGTCTGGAGTTCAAGATAAATTACAGCATCCAAGGTACAGTGGTGCCTGATTAATCTCGACTATGCTTCATCTGATTTAAAATAAATTGTATCATTAAAGTTACAGTTGTCTCATTAATCTGCACATCTTCAGCCAGATAAAAAATAGGTAACATTCAAGGTACAGTGGCACTTATTTAATCCAGACAATTATAACTGAATAAAATTTTGGAGAATGCAAAGTAAAGTGGTGTGTTTTTAATCCAGACATCTTCTCTTTATCTTGCCAATGGATAGAAAAAAGATAGCATGCAAAATACAGTAGTGTCTCCTTAATCCAAACATCCAGACATTCATCCAATTGAAGTGGATATGAATAAGAAATCATTATTGGGAAGTTAAAATTGAGCTACAAACTGATAGGTTTATACTGTATACAGGATTATTTTCGCTTTTTTTTTTTTTTTTTTTAATTTTTGCCCTTTCACACTTGTAAACAATTTTGCAGCATTTTAAATTCACCCAGACACAGTTTTGTCAAAGAAATAATGCTTTGTTTTTTAAATTTGCCCCATTTCAAATTTGCCTACCAGTAACAAGGGCAAAAGGGGCAAAAATAAAATGGGAGTGAAAATTTCCTTGTACACAGTAACATTAAATCAGTAGGGAATACTGGGGAGTAGGGCCACTGGTTTTGGCATTGTGACTTTTTCATAACTTTAATTTCAAAGTGAGTTGGTGAGAATGAAGGCAGCATGTTGTATCCTGAGGTTTATAAGGACCATCCCCAGCTACCAGGGCCATCTACAGGACAACATAAAAAAGCTTCTGTATGACAAAGATCCAGGGGTCATGTCTATAGGGGTCAAGATACAACTAGAACTGCTCAGGTTAAGACAGATTAGGTTTGTTCAAGGTTATTTGTTTTTGAGAACCATGCTAATGGCCCTAAAAGCTGAAATTTTTCCCCTTTGCTTCTTTTGTAAAATACTTAATAAATTTTGAGCTAGGCTAATTAGTGTAATTGTATGGAGAGATATGATAAGACAGAGAAGATGTACCTGTACATGCATTTTGGTAGATTTCTGATATTTTAAATGTTCGATAGTTCATGAATGAAATATGAAGATAATGAACAATATTCAATCTTGAAAGTCCAATGAAACAATACAAATTTGGAGCAGAGCAAACACGGACCTGAAAATTTAGAGGTGGGATCAGGTGCCATGGAGGAGTGAGCATCCCCTGCCGACCGGTCACACCCGTCTTGTCATGATCGGGAAACAAAAACTGGAAAAATCCGTAGACAGTTCAGTGTATAAATAATGGTTTAACAATTAGTATGAAAAACGTCAGTCAGCATTTGACTCAATGAAAGGTCATTGTATCGACCAAAAAACTTGCGAAAAGATGACTTCAAATGAGACTGTTGATATCCTTGTTTCGACAAATTGTTTGTCAGTAGCTTCCCTCTTTTTAGAAATTGTTCATATGTAGAGCATGCTCTTGCGTATCGAATCAACTGAGAGACATAATCATGAGAGAATTATATTCAAGGAACAAGTACAGCCAAACCCCATTGTCTCAAACTAGTTGACACTTAAAAAAAATCAAGATATCCAAAAAGCTTTGAGGTACAGTCAAACTTGTTATCTTGAACTCGATGGGACTGAGAACAATAATTTGAGATATCCAAGGATTCCAGACATTGAGGGGAAAATACTTACAGAAAAAGTGGTTGGGACTTCCAAATCACTTGGACATATCCATGGTTTTCGAGATATTGGTGTTTGAGATAACGAAGTTGAACTGAATTTAGATTTTAAAAAACAGCAAAAAAGTGGTTGGGGCTCCCTATCACTTCAACATATCCATGGTATTCAAGATGTTACTGTTTGAGATACCAAAGGTCAACTGTATCATGAATTTTAACACCCCCTCTCCAATAATTGATACCATTCACAGTAGCTCAGTCGGTAGAGCACTTGCTTCATGATCGGGAGGTCATGAGTTCGAATCTCGGCCGCGACTGACCTAAGTCAATAAAAAATGGGTAGTAACTGTTCGTTCGCCATGCGCTCAGCACTTTGAAGTGAAAGTTGCGGGTCCTTCAGATGAGACCTTAAAAACCGAGGCCCCGTGTCAAGGCAGGCATTGGCACGATAAAGATCCCTCACTGCTCAATGGCCCAGGAGTGAGTGCCGAGTAAAGGTCAAAATTTGAAGCCCTTCACCGGTATATGGTGACATCTATATGAGTGAAAAATTCTCGAATGGGACGTAAAACAACATACAATCAATCAATCAATCCAATAATTGATATTAAGAAATAATTATACTTACAATTTGTAGCTGAAGATAAACTCAAGAAAATATGTTTTTAAAGATACATGTATATACAAATCAGAAAAATAAAAGTTTTGAAAATTATTTTCTTTTAGAGAGGAAATCAGAACAGCCCAAACTTGACCTCTGACCTTATCAAAATTCAACAGCAGCTAATGAACAGGAGCCTCCCATCATCCTTTGAGTACCATGGCAACCCATTACCATGGTTACAGATTGACATACTGAGAGCTTTGGCAGTTCTTGGTAGAGGAAGTAAAAAGTAAAGCTTGTATTTGTTAAGGATATTTTTCTGTCTTTGATTTTGAGGGCTTGGTGGTTATAGCCATTTTTAGACTATTTAAACCTTCTGGAAAAAAGATTGTTTCACTAGCAAAGAGAGGTCTTTTAAAAAATGTAAGAATTTAACATAATAGAAACTTCAAAGGTAAAATATGTATAATGTGCTTTGCAAATAAGGTAAATTTCAACTTAAATTTCCAGGAACAGTGAAGACATGTACCCCCTGCTAAGAAATGTCTTGGATAAAACTGACATGAGAGAGAAAATGACTTATGGTAAGGTTGTAGTTACTTGCTAATAGAGATGACTATTTGATAATGATACGAGTAGAATTTTTGCTACAGAGGTTTTTAATATGTAAATGGGCATATTTTATACTGTAATATTGGTAAAATTATACCATAGTACAGAGTAATTCTTTGTAACATCAAATATCTGAGAAATCCAGTTTAAAATTCTATTAGAAATGAGTTGAGTTCAATTTTATTTCAGGTTCATTTCCTTTGATGTATAATGATTCATAATTTCTCTAGAATTGCCCTTCTTGGAGTATTATTAGAATTAACTTCATTTCTTTGCATAATTATAATCAAAAATGTCTTTGGGTTATTAAGAGTGGATCTTAAATATTTATCACAGCAATCTTGTATGAATGCATTGTGACCATCACCAATATTGTGCCTCATCGAGAACTTCTGAGTGAGGCAAGTAGCAAAGTGAAAAAATTCATCTCCTCAACAAGTTACGTCGTCAAGTACATAGGTAAGTCATGCCCTCAAGTACATAGGTAAGTCATGCCCTCAAGTACATAGGTAAGTCATGCCCTCAAGTACAGAGGAAAGTTATGTCCTCAAATACAGAGGAAAGTTATGTCCTCAAGTACAGAGGAAAGTTATGTCCTCAAGTACAGAGGAAAGTTATGTCCTCAAGTACAGAGGAAAGTTATGTCCTCAAGTACAGAGGAAAGTTATGTCCTCAAGTACATAGGTAAGACAATTGTAACTATGGTATCTCAGACTCTGATATCTCAAATATCATGCTGATTTTAAAGTACCAACCACTATTATTTTTATTGTATTTCAACCTCAATATCTTGTTGAACCTTCGCATATCTCAAAGTTTTTTCCCTTTGGGTTGATATAATGATGTTTAACTGTATACAGTATGCAATGGTTTCTTATTATTACATGTCTACATGTAGATAGTTTATTTTTAAAAGTATCATTTTCAAATTAAATATAATCATTTTTCATCTTTTGTAGGTGTGAAGGCCCTGTCACATTTGATAACAAAGAGTCCAGAGAACTGTCAGATTATTCTTGTAGAGCTCCAAGATGACCCAGACCCAGCCGTCCAATCAAAGGCATGTGAAAGTTTGAAGAACTCATTAAGCATGAAATATTTTGATGAGAAAATAAAGAAAAAACATTAAAATTGATTATATTTAAATGATTTATATTAACTTTTTATTCATTTATTTAATATTTTTCATTCATGTGATAATTTGTTTGTTTTTTAAACCCTGGTTTTATTTAGATTGCAGAGCTTCTGCACAGTATAGCTAAGGAGACAGATGTCAAGGTTGTTAATTGAAGTATTCCACTATATTCAATATTCATTTTAAAAAAAAGAAGACAATTAATGCTTGCTATACATTTTAATTTATCAAATATACCTTAATATAAATAATTTTAGTTTAAATGTTAAGAAATAAGATACATGTATATGATATAGTTAAGAAAGATTTCAAAATAGATATATGCATACATGTGATATGTACCGGCTGTACGCAAAATGTACAGTTTTTTGAGCCCATTCATCGTGTACCGGCGGGACACCAAAATTCACGGAATATGAAAATTTGTACAGTATTTTGAATTCTCTCTAAATGCCGCCATTTTCCTCTCATTCTCGCTCGCGAGACACTGAAAAACGTCACCTGTGTTTCACACTTGACCTTCTGATAATTGTGTAGTGTACACAAACCATCGCGTGCGAAGGTGTGAACTGCCAATTGGGATAATTATCTTGCTATAAATCCGTATCAAATACCCCTTTAGGTAGCTTTATTTTTTAAGGGGTACTTAATTACTGTTAATGTTTTGTATGCGTAACTTGATTGAAAAAAAAAATTAAGCCAACTTTCTAAAGTTGATATACATGACTTAATATACGTGAATCTGACCCAGATCTTCGTAGGTATAAAATATAAGATGTTTATTACAATGATTACGCTGGAATTTCAGAAGAATTTAAGCGATATTTTATACCATTTTTTGTACCGTTTTTTGATAGGCAGTGTACAGTTTTTTCACCCAAATTCCGGTTTTTTTATGGCCCTTGTACAGTTTTGTGGTCTTTGACTTATCACATGTATGTATATGGTCTATATTTTTAAGTTATGATATTGTCTTTTTATGAAATTTTCTACAGATTGGCAAGAAAGTGGCTGAAATGAAGAATCTTGGGTCTGAGGAACTTCTTACATTCAATTCTACCTCCACAGACTGGAGAGCTCTTAGTGCTGAAGAGTCACGTAAGGGAGATAAATCAAATGAAGTCTTGGAAAATAATGATTATAAAACATCCACAGATTTATTAGATTTTTCAGAAACTAAGATATTCTCAGAACATTTCGACTCCCATGAAACATTACTCTCAGTTAATAATCATAACAAGGAAAGTTTTCCAAATAATAAACAATGCATGAAATCACTATACCAAGAAAAGGACTTCAGTCTAGAGAAAGCAGGGTTTTACAGCAGAGAACCCCCTCCTCTAAGTAGTGAAGATTTTTCTGAAGATGGAATGAGCTTATTGGCTAAGCAGCCATTTTCTGGTTGTGATGAAGATATGGTTGAAGGGAGCCTCATGTTTAGTCAGGAAAATTTGGAAAGTTTCAGCCAATTAAATTTAGACATACCCCAAAGCAAAGACAAGGAGAGTGAAAGTACATGTAGTTTATTTAGTAAAACCAAATCAAATTTTTACAGTTTAAAAAGTGAATGACCAGACATTGAAGCCATTCAAAGATAGGTCAATGTTGATGACAGTTTATGTAGTCAGTATAATACATGAGTGTGACTGTGAAGATTCTGTTACAATGTAACAAGTGATAATGTCAGCTAAAACACAAAATAAATGTACTATGTTTTTTATTATTTTTTTTTATTGAATGACACTGTATGCAAATGATCTACACAAACATTTTATTGTCAACATGCATAGGATGTAGTTTAAGGTTCAATTGTGAGACTTTTTGCATAAATGATCAGTGTGTTGTTACATCCTTCAAACAATGTTAGTTGTATTTGTTTGCAATATCAGAAGCGTAACTGTGATAAAAATGATGGATAAAATCTAAATGCTCCAATGGTTGTCTTTATTTTTTAGTTCACCAGGGCTGTGTTCAAGATTGTAGTGTCTAACGTAGCAGCTACATTGTAGGTTGTAGATATCTACAAAAATCCTTGCGTTTAAACACAATAATCCTTCCTTTTAAGTATTTATTTTGCATTAAAATACTATGATACTGTAGTTTCAAAATCAAACATCAATTAGCCAAAGCTTTTAATTACTTGGATCCGACACTTCAAAGAAGAACCGTTAGGTTCTGTGTCTTTTTGCAAAATGTTCCAGTTTTTGAAAATTGTAGTAAAACAATGGCATCCTTACAACCTGAATGTCTTAAACGTATTAGAATCCAATACTCTTAATGAAGCCTTTGATCAATTGCTTACGTATCACAACTATTTAAGAATTAACGTTTCAGTGGTATTAATAGCACTTATCAATTTGGTAGTACACATCGATCAATCTGTTTTCATTTGATTTTGTTCTCTAATGATTCAATCACCTATGTTCATGTGTTTACTGTATGCCACCAAACGATAGATTGTGAATATACATTAAAATCTAAATACTTCATCACGATGTACGTAAATATTCCAACATTTCATCAGTCGTTTCCTGAACCCCTTTATACATTGGTTAAACTTTGTGACCGCAACGTAGGGATAGGTTTTTTTTTTTAACCATTTTTTTCTTCTTTAGTCTTTTATTTAGAAGATCCATTCTAATTGTTTGCAGAAATTGTTTCAGACCATTGCGTTTAAACGCAAAAATTATTGCGTTTAAGCGCAAAAATATTGCTACGTTTAAACGCCAAAAGTACGGCGTTTAATCGCAAAATTATTGCGTTTAAACGCAAAAGATTGTGTTTAATCGCAATCTTTTGCGATAAAACGCAAAGTGCTTTGCGTTTAAACGCAGTATATATTGCGATTAAACGCAATCTTTTGCGTTTAAACGCAATGATTTTTGCGATTTAATGCAATGTTTTGCGTTTAAACGCAATAATTATTGCGTTTAAACCAATAAAAAAAATTCTCTCTGTGAGCTGGCCTCAACGAGCTTCCGTAGTTTGTTTGTTTTGTAGTTGTTGTTTTGTTTTTGTTTTTTTTTTATTGACAGTGTCTGCGTACTTTTTTTTATTATCATGAATTTGTGTAGCTGCCCCCCCCCCCCCTTTGAAAAAACGATAGTACGTGCCTGCGCATTATTTATACATGCCTGCGCATTATTTATTATGAAAAAAAGAGGAATATTTAAACTTCACAAAATTGTTATTTTTCTTTAAATAGAAGGGAAAGTAAAAATTTTGTATATTTTCATCCTTTAGTTGTACGACCTATCCATACTTCACTTCCGTTTGAAACGAAAGTAGAATTGTCAGTGAGCAATGGGTTTGCTTAACCACAAAAGTGGTTTGATGTGGGTAAATGCGGACTATCATTTATAAAATTGTGTTATAAGAGGACAACAGGATGTCTGACGTCATAGAGAAGACAATCGCTTCCCTCCCGAAATTGTTCTCAGATGGTATCCGGGGATCACCAGGGGATAAGAGCTTGTCTACTAAAAAGCTGATGGGGAGGGCATTTCATGGCTTTATTAGAAGTGTCTGCAGGTGTCGTAACTTAGCGGTAAGATTTATATCGCTCTTTTATTTCTGTTTCTTTCCTTTTCATCTCTCTCTCTCTCTCAGATATTCGATCCCTCTCTCTTTCTCGTTATACATTACTTGATGAATAAAGCAAATTGTATTTTGATAATTTAGGAGGAAAGAGCATTTGTTAGTCATGAACTGGAACAAATCAAAGAAAATCTAAGCAGAACTGGTGTTTCACAGGTAGGACATTTATCATCTTGGTGGTAAAACTACTACAAAATAATTCATTGTACCAGGAACCTACGTACTCATTATATATAACTACACTGAATTAGTATATATGAGATCATGGGTTCACAGGTGTGTAAAAGTTTATCAACTTATTGGGTCTTAGTAGCTCAGTGGTTAGAGCGCTGGCACAGTGTGCCAGAGGCCCTGGGTTCAAGTTCTGGCCGGCCAGTTGGTTCCAGCCGGCCAGTTGAAACTTGATTTTTCACCTCGAATGACAAACCTCCTTCCTTGTACTTGTTATTGTTTAATTAGTGTTTGATGTCTAATTTGTACTAAATTACTTTTACTTTCATTTCAGGACTCCGTGTGCGACTATCTATGTCGCCTCGTATTCTGTCACATTCTTGGATACGATGTCTCCTTCGGTCTCATCTACACACTTAAGCTGGCGCAGCAAGGTTCTGGACTAGAGAAAAGAATTGGTATATGTTCTTCAGTTATCAACTAGGAGTGAAACGGTTCACCGCGGTATCGATTCACCGCGGTATTTTTTCTCGGTTTGATACACAGTGCAAAATCTCTAATTTTCGGTTCAGTTCATTTTTCGGTCGGGATCGTTATTCAGTTGGGTTTGGCATGAGGTAAAACATGTTACTCAGTATAAATAAGTATAGAAAACGTAAATTTTTGATGACCGATAGTTTGTAAAATAATTTTTGACAGTCAAATAATTCTAATCAATTTCTTTTAGTCAAATTGCAAATGAAAATTCGTAAATTAAGTGACTAGATTTAGCAAAAGAAAGCATAAAACAAGGTTGAATTTGTTTCCTTCTATCAAAATGTATCGTATCGAAAATAACCGTACCGAGACAAAATTATACAATACGTATCGAACCGTGAAAGAAGTGTATCGTTTCACCCCTATTATCAACACTGAAATGATTCTAATCCAGATGCCATTAGTTCCAAAGAAATTGGCCATATTAGACAACATTTCTGATTAGACAACTGTTTAAGCAATTGAATTTACTGAAAGGGTCTTTAAGTTAACATTGTTTTACTAGGCATATTTTGGAATACACAACATCTTGATTAGACAAGTTTCACTGTATACATGTTTAATTACTGGTAATTTTTCTTTATCATAAAGGCATATGCACATTTTTCCCTCTGGGTTTTTACAACTGAAATTTTTTGTGACATTTTTTTATATACAGGTTACACCACTGCCATGTTACTCCTTCATCAGGATGATGAACTAACTCTTCTATTGATGAATACCATTCAAAAGGTCAGAAAAATCAACATCCTTAAAACACAAAAATTTGACCCTCCAAAAATCTGTTACAGTACTTAGCCATTAGAACCCCTGTCTCCAATAAAGTCCCAATTATAGTGAGCATTTTTGTAAACATTTATGCATCTTTTCATTATAGGACCTGCACAGTACTAATATTTTGGACAACTGTATTGCGCTGTCGGCTGTCTGTCATCTTGTCAGCTCAGACATTAATGTCATCAGTATGTTCTTACCACTGGTGCAGAAGAAATTACAGCATCCAAGGTATGGACATGCTACATTAATCCAGACAACTTAATCCAGATATTAATTAAAAAAGCACAGTTGTATGTAAGGTACAGCAGTGCCTCATTAATCCAGATAACTCTAAGCTAAAACCTCTAGATGATATGAATCATCTTGAGTTTTAAAATAATGAATAGGTACTTTTTCATGTGATAAAATTAATATTTTGAGATGAATGAAAATGGAAAATCATTTACTTGTATGTGTCAATCTAGATTAGTTTTGGGGAAGGGGGTATTTAGACTTAAATTCTGATGGAGTTATATTAAAATTTAAAATCAATAAAGAATAAAAATAGAAGTGGATAACCAGGGTTATAAAGAGTAAAATAGAAGTGGATAACCAGGGTTGTCCCTAAGACCTGGGGGCCGGGGAATTTCCCCACCTATAAAGACGTTATCCTCTGGTTATTCTGGTAATCCCCCTCAACTCTCTGTTAGGGGAAGAACCTCAGAACCCCTTCTACTCTTTTAATGTCCCCTTCTATTTCAATTCCTAGGGACAACCCTGGGATAACTAATAATTTCTTGTTGATTTCAAAGGGAACTGGTAAGAATGAAGGCAGCCTGTTGTATCCTGAGGTTTATAAAGACCATCCCCAGCTACCAGCGCCACCTACAGGACAACATCAGAAAGCTTCTGTATGACAAAGATCCAGGGGTCATGTCTATAGGGATCAAGATACAGCTAGAACTGCTCAGGGTAAAACTCTATTAGGTTTGTCCTCCATGGCAAACCTGACAGAGCCTATTTACCATTCTGATACAAGATCCTGTCCCCTTCTTTCAATTGGGAATTTTGATTACATTCATTTGAAAAAAAGGCATAATGGGGAAATATTGATGACTTAATTGAATAAATAATGGATTACAATATATAGCTGAAAAATACTAAAACATATAGATGCAAATCATTAAAATATTTACTAAAATTTTCTTCTTTCAGGGAGGAAATCAGAACAGCCAGAACTTAACCTCTGACCTGATCAAAATTCAACAGCAAATAATGAACAGGAGCCTCCCAGCATCCTTTGAATATCATGGCATTCCATTACCATGGTTACAGATAGACATACTGAGGGTTTTGGCAGTTCTTGGTAGAGAAAGCAAAAAGTAAAGTTAATGTTTAATAAGGATATTTTTCTGGACATGTTTGTCAGAGTAAAACGATGCAAATACAGGGTTCGAAATTCACTATATACAACTCGCAAAACGCGAGTTAGGATTCCCAAATTGCGAGTTAAAAATTAGGTAACTCGCAAAAACTTGCGAGTTGATTTTTTTGCATTGAAACTGTAACAAAATTACATAATATGACAGAACAGAATGCTTTTGATTTAAATCAGTAATTTAACTAAAGGTCACATTGTAGTTGTATTTTGTGTATTGTACAGAAGTTATACTTTTTCCTTAAGTTACATGTACAGCAAGTATTTAATTTATATAAATTTAACTTTATATGAAAATTGCGAGTAGTCTTATAAAATTGCGAGTTCACTTTCTTGGTACTCGCAATTATTTGCGAGTTGTAATTTTAGGGAGTTTCTAACCCTGAAATATAAAATAATGTAAATATGTAAATGTCATCCATAGTTTGGAGTATCAGTATGCAGTTGTTTGTTTACACACATACGTTTTTCAGGAACAGTGAAGACATGTACCCCCTGCTGAGAGATCTCTTAGATAAAATTAACATGAGAGAGAAAATGGCTTATGGTAAGATTGTAGTTACTTATCTATAGATATGACTTTATTTGGTAACTTCAAATGCTTGAGAAATCAAAAATCCCAAGACAAAGAATGAAAGTGGATTTTATTTCAGTTTCGTATTCTTCTGATTTCTAATCAGTTTTTATTTCTCTGGAAATGTTCTTCTTGAAGTACATGTATCGTTTTAGTAAACTTTCATCTGAATCATCTTAATTATGAATTTGAAAATCTTGAGCAGTATGGTAATGAATTTTTGCAGCTCTCATGTATGAATGCATTGTGACCATCACAAGTATTTTCCCTCATCAAGGACTTCTGAGTGAAGCAAGTATAAGAGTAAAGAAATTCATCTCCTCAACAAGTTATGTCCTCAAGTACATAGGTAAGTTATGTCCTCAAGTACATACGTAAGTTATGTCCTCATGTACATAAGTAAGTTATGTCCTCAGGTACATAGGTAAGTCATGTCCTCAAATACATAGAAAAGTCATGTCCTCAAGTACAGAGGTAAGTCATGTCCTCAAGTACATAGATAAGTTATCTCCTCAAGTATAGAGGAAAGTCATGTCCTCAAGTACAGAGGAAAGTCATGTCCTCAAGTTCAGAGGAAAGTCATGTCCTCAAGTACAGAGGAATGTCATGTCCTCAAGTACAGAGGTAAGTCATGTCCTCAAGTACAGAGATAAGTCATGTCCTCAAGTACATAGATAAGTCATGTCCTCAAGTACATAGATAAGTCATGTCCTCAAGTACACTGTACATGTGTAAGTTATGCCCTTAAGTACAGAGGTAAGTCATGTCCTCAAGTAAAAGAGCTAAGTCATGTCCTCAAGTACAGAGGTAAGTCATGTCCTCAAGCACATAGGTAACATATAAAGTGTGATGTCCTCACAGTGTTAACATGTCCTCAAATACAAACATTTATCCAAACATGCAAACGTGACTTTCATGTATTTTATTATCAGACTTTTAACTTTATATACTGATCAAATATTTACTATTGATAACAAAAAGTTGCCCTAGTAATCTATCATGAAATATTATAAGTGGTTGATAATTCCCCCTCCCCCCTCCCCTCCCCCCTTTTCCAGTAATTTTAGACTGCTGGATGCTTCATTTATCATCAATTCAGTTTTGATTTGAATAAAAATATTAGTAACATCCATTCCTACAGGTGTGAGGGCGCTGACACATTTAATCACTGTGAGTCCAGAGAGTACCACAGACTGTCAGATGATTGTAGTAGAGCTTCTAGATGACCCAGATCCAGCTATCCAATCAAAGGCATGTGAATGTTTTGAAAAACAACAACAAAAACTATGTTGAAAAGAAACTGCAACTTCTACAATTATATCATTGACAGTTGACATTTATTAATTACATTTAAAAAGTTTGTCTTAAATTTTTATTATGAATGTCAGAAATTAAAATATCTGGCATTTCATCATGGATTCAAGTAGACTACTGAATATTGTTTGTGAGGCTTAGGACATCACAGCAACTTACAAAAATTAAAAAAAATCTTTTTTTAATATATAGATTTTAAATATTATCTTTTTATTTTATTTTTTCTGAATCTGATAATTGTGATTTTTTTTGTTTTAACTTAGACTGTTGACCTTCTGTACAGTATGGCCAATGAGAGCAATGTCAAGGTCGTTTGTAGTAAGCTTGTGGAACATTTGGATCGTCCGGGGAGTAACTTCACCAAGTCAGAACTCGTCAGAAAAATTGTCAGCCTGACCGAGAAATATCCTTCTTTATTATTAATCTAGTTATTTGTGATTTTTTTGCGTTTTTTTTTTTACCAGACTTCAAAGCTGACAGGTCTTTTTCCTATGGCAAGTTTTGCACATTTCTTTTTTAAAAAGTGATGATCTCAGTTAATTTTGCTGAACTGAAGTGTTGGTAATTCCTTCTGTAGGAGGTTGGTAAGTTTGCATAAAAAAATTTCACTTTTACTTCTACGAATTATGATTTTATATGTTAATCTTGAAGCAGTTGGTACTGGATTGTTTCCTTATAATCTCTGCTTGTGTTTTTCTCCTTAACACAAGCGCAAATATAACCTGGATGGAGGCTGGGTCATTGACATCACTTTGATGATTCTTAAAGTGGAAAGCAACAACTTACCTGAAAACTTAGTGGAGAGACTGCTGAATAATCTAGTCAAAAGTAAGTTAAACTGGCAGCAAAAGTAGGTTAAAATGGAAACAAAAGTAGGTTAACTTGTCAACAAAAGTAGGTTAAAATGGAAGCAAAGTAGGTTAAATTGTCAACAAAAGTAGGTTAAAATGACAACAAAAGTAGGTTAAAATGTCAAGAAAAGTAGGCTAAATTGTCAACAAAAGTAGGTTAAAATGTCAACAAAAGTAGGTTAAAATGGCAGCAAAAATAGATGAAATTGTCAACAAAAGTAGGTTAAATTGTCAACAAAAGTAGGTTAAATTGTCAACAAAAGTAGGTTAAAATGTCAACAAAAGTAGGTTAAATTGTCAACAAAAGTAGGTTAAAGTTAAAATGGCAAAAAAGTGGTTTAAGATTGTAACATTAAAATATACACCCCCACTTTTATATTCATAGTGCAGTATACAAAAATCTCTTTATTTTCTAGTTTGCCTTGGTAAATATTCTTGCTCTTGGGGAACTGGAATTGTGCTGATTTTCTCAAGAACAGTTGAACTTCATTATCTCAAACACCATTGTCTCAAATCTGTGGGAAATGTAGAAGTGATTTAGCAGTCCCAATCACTTTTTCTATTATTTAACCTCATTATCTTGAATCCTCAGATAACTGGAAGTATAATGTCATTCCCGTTTGAGTTCAAGATAGTGAAACATACAAATTTTATGATTTGTTTTCCGAATGAGCTTCATCAGTTAGTAATGGTGTTTGTTTTGAAAATTATAAAAAATAAATCTTTTCCAGTTTTGGACCTACCTGTCCAAAGCAGTCGGGTACCAGAGACAATACAACATGCTGTTAAAAAGTCTGTACAGGGCTTGTTCCAGGAGAACTGTTCTAAAGAACTAGTCTGCATTGCCACCTGGGTAAATTTAATATTCTGTCACAGAGTCACACTAACAAATTCAACATACTTGCTTCAAAAGCAGCAATACCTTTCCTTCTATATTTCAACTCAATAGTGAATTCCAAAGATGTAGTGTCAATCATGCTTTCTTTTGTTCTTACATTTTTTTTCTGTATTTAATTTGTATCAAGTGGTTATATTTTTTTTCAAAGCAAGAATCTGAATTTTAATTCAGAATGTTAAGAAAGGCAGAAGAATGAAATTTTAGCCTTTTTTAGGTCACCTGAGTCACTCAGGTGACCTATTGCTATCCGTTTTCGTCCGTCGGCGTGCGTCGTGCGTTAACATTTGAACGTTTTCAGCTTCTTCTCTGAAACCGCTCAACCAATTTCAACCAAATTTGGCATATAACATCTATGGGTGAAGGGGGACAAAATTTGTGAATTTCATGGTCCCTGCCCCCCTGGGGCCTGAGGGGTGGGGCAAAAACCACTAAAATTAATGCAATCTTTAAAAATCTTCTTCTTTACTCCTGGACATCAAGCAGTCAAACTGTTAGCATGATTGTAATAAGCATTGAGCCCTCTACCAAATTTGTGAAATTCATGGCCCCAGGGTCAGGGGTTCTGGGGCTAGGGCGGGGCTATATAGATCATATAGTGAAAGTGCATTATTTCTTTGAAAATCTTCTTCTCTACCCCTGGGTATTATTGAACAAAATTGAATACATATTTATGATAAGCAAGAGTGACTTTACCAAAATTGTGAAATTCATGGCCCCAGGGTCAGGGGTTCTGGTGTTAGGGCGGGGCTATATAAATCATATAGTGAAAGTGCATTATTTCTTTGAAAATCTTCTTCTCTACTCCTTGGTATTATTGAAACAAATTGAATACATAGTTATGATAAGCAAGGGTGACTTCACCAAAATTGTGAAATTCATGGCCCCAGGGTCAGGGGTTCTGGTGCTAGGGCGGGGCTATATAGGTCATATAGTGAAAGTGCATTATTTCTTTGAAAATCTTCTTCTCTACTCCTGGGTATCATTTAAACAAATTGAATACATAGTTATGATAAGCAAGAGTGACTCTACCAAAATTGTGAAATTCATAGCCCCAGGGGCAGGGGTTCTGGTGTTAGGGCGGGGCTATATAAATCATATAGTGAAAGTGCATTATTTCTTTGAAAATCTTCTTCTCTACTCCTGGGTATTATTGAAACAAATTGAATACATAGTTATGATAAGCAAGAGTGACTCTACCAAAATTGTGAAATTCATGGCCCCAGGGTCAAGAGTTCTGGTGCTAGGGCTGGGCTATATAAATCATATAGTGAAAATGCATTAATGCTTTAAAAATCTTCTCTACTCCTGGGTATTATTTAAACAAATTAAGTACATTGTTATGATAAGCAAGGATGCTTCTTCCAAAATTATGAAATTCATGGCCCCAGGTACAGGGGTTCTGGTGCTAGGGCGGGGCCATATATATCCTATAGTGAAGGTGAATTATTTCTTTAAAAATCTTCTTCTCTGCGCCTGGGTATTATTTAAACAAACTATTAGTACATTGTTATGATACGCAAGTATGCCCCTTCCAAAATTGTGAATTTCATGGCCCCAGGGTCAAGGGTTCTGGTGAAAAAAGGGGGGGGGGCTCTATTGATTATATAGTGAAAAAGCAAAATTTCTCTGAAAATATTCTTTTCTGCTTCTGGTTAAAAAGCAAAGAAGCTAAGTGTATAGTTATGATGAGCATGATTACTTCTTCCAGAGTAGTGAATTGCATGACCCCTGGGTCAGATGTGCTGGTGTAAGGGTGGGGCTCTTGATAATGTAGTGAAAATGCATTAATTCTGTTAAATAATCCTGTCTGCTCCTTAGTGTTAATCAGATAAACAAAGTGATTACTTACATGTATGATGAATAAACTTCTGGTCCCAGGGTGAGAGACTCTGGTGTTTCTCGGTGGGGATGGGAGGTTGGGGGGGGGGGGGGGGCTGGGGGGCTCTATTGATAATGTAGTGAATCTGTAGTAAAAACTGCATTATTTCTTTGAAAATCTTCTCTGCACCTGGGCATATCAGAGGCAAAAAGAGTAAAAGTTTTAATAAATATTTTTGAACATCTGGGCCATTTTGTCAAGTGTTCTGGTCCTGGCCAGGGCTCTATTAATTTGTATTCTACTGAGGGGAGTTATTCCCCTTTGCCATTTACTTTTGATAATTAGTCACTGTAAATAATGTACTTGAAAGGTTAATAGAATAAGAGAATTTTGCAAGATTTTTTATTGTATAATACAAAAAGTACTTTCATAGTTTTATGATCAGGTAGACTTGTAAGTAATAGATAAATAAAAATGAGACAAAAATAACTTGTCTTATTCAATGTTCATCAAAGACCAAGAGAGTCCAATGTAAGAGATTTCAACAAGGAATTAAAATAGTACAGAAGCATTGATAGTTTGTTAATATACTGTATGGTGATAGTGATAAATGGGGAACAGATTAGAACCTAATTTATGAACTGTTAATGAACACTAGACTAATTATTTTGTTGAACCTGATCACCCTATTTTTCTTGCTTTTGGGCAACAAAGCTTCACTTTTCAGTTCATTTTATACTCTATGGATTCTCTAAATTGTTGTATTATACTCAGGTGACCGTTAAGGCCCTTGGGCCTCTTGTAATTTTTTTTGAATATGAAGCATTGTATTTTTCTCTTCAGATTCTAAGTGAATGTTCAAGCCTGTTGAAGAATATGCCAGAAGACAAAGTTATGTCCCTTCTTCAGAAACAGTTTCTCAGACCGTCATTAGATGTCAGCACACGTCTGTGGATTCTATCATGCATGACTAATCTATTGTGTGGGGGTATATTGAAGCCAGGGGTTGTGAAAGAGGCAGTAGAGAAAATGAGAGGAATGGAGCAGAATTTTATTTTACAGCAGGTAAATTTGTATCAGAGGAATTTAAGTAGATTTTTTTAGCCCATTTGATGAGTTTAATAGTGTAAATGCAGAAATTGTCATAAGGGGCTCATTTATGTGACATGCACGAAAAGAAATTATTGACATAAATATCTTGAATTTTGCATAAACTATGCATTATACTGGAACTATGGAAATAACCCAAACTCACAAGGTTTTTCCTACAAATTACATGATTAACAGCAAGTGTAAATTTCCTCATTTATGGTAGTTATAGAGATATGTAAATCACAAGCATGTTTTAATATCGATATTTCGGAATCCACGATTAATTATAGAAATTGAAAAGAAGATTAAATTAATGTCAGCAGCAATGATTCCAGGAGTACTGAAGATTTCTTATTTTTCCTGAGTATTTTAATATCGTGCAATGAGACTTAGATGTCAAATTTCATGAGAACATTAATTTGCGAAATGATAATTGATCAAGAGATTTTATATAGATATCAGCACCACAAAAATAAAAGCGAGGAACTTTTATTTAGTGAGAAGTGCTTGTTGCTAAATTACGCAATAATTAATTCCTCACGTTTATTTAGGAATCTTATTACAATGTAATTGGGTATTATTTCTTTTAAAAGTAACAGGAACAATCTAACATGTACTTATAGGAAACTTTGTGTTTTGGAATCACTCTTATCCATCCCAACAATATGTATAATTTGATTTTATCTCAACAGAAACTTCTTGAATGTCACAGACTCTGTGGATCACCACTTACTGTGGATCTCCATACAGAAAGACTGGATACTTCTGAGGTACCTCATATACTGCACTTATGGGCTAGGAAACTTAAACTAGGAAAGACAAACTTGTATGTACTTATTTTATTATGGAAGGTCTAAATACTCCTCCCTGAAGTGTTCTAATTCCGTGGTAGTTTTATGCAGTTAGAGTGATCTGCCCTTAGATGGAAGATGGAATAAACTGGAATATACAGTGAAGCTAGGACACAGTGTGTACTAGATAAAAGTATTCTTAACATTATATTAGTCCATGATAAAGTAATTGATTAACTTATTTGCATGATTGTATTTTCCCAATGGAAATTAAAAGCAGTAATTTTTGTTCACTAAAACTTCATTGTCTTTGAACCTGGGGAAATATGGTAGGTCCCTTATGTTGAATATGAACTAGATAAAATTTACACCTTTATATGGCATAATTTTCTCAAAGTCAAAAAATACCATTTTTTGTTAGCGTGTTCAGCTTCCTTAAATACAAATGTTTTATTTAAACCTATGAAAGATTCATTGTATTATTGACTGGAGTGTGAAACAAAGGTCTAAATATGAAATGTACATGTATTATTTTGACTGACTTGGATTAAAGAAATATTTTTGGTACAAGAAACTTTATTCATTTTTGGTTGAAAAAAAAAATGAATTGAGCAGATCATGTCATGATTCAAAATTAAGAAAAATAAGAATTATTTCATTAGTCATAAATTGTGGTTCCATCAGGAATGTGAAAGGTATTGGAGCCCTACTTTTGTATTGAGCTCCATGCTTTTTTACCTGAGGAAAACTGAGAAATTCTTGGAATGAAAATCATGCAAGAAAAAAGCCTTCAGTAAAAAACCACAGGATCTTTTCAAACATATTTTTTTATTTTAAAATAATAAAGTGATTTTTTTTTCACATGATTTTTTTCTTCCTAAATTTCACAGAAAAGCCATGTATACTGTAAAATGGGAAACGTTGACGATGTGGAAACATTGGCGAAATTGACGAATTTCTAATAGTCGTCAAAGTTTCCACTCGTCAACTTAAACACTCCTGTTAAAGAGCACTGATAAATACTGTAGATCGTCAAATTTTCCACTCACCATTTTTATAATATACCGAAATCTTCAAACTTTCAACCCTTCAATATAACCACTTTTACTGTACCTCACACTCTAAGAAATTCATATGAGACATGTTTATGTATCTGATTTGTTGCAGTTTGACTTCACTCTGTCTTTTCTGGATGACTTTGTGATCGATTCTCTGGAGAATGGAACAAAGCCTTACATGCATAGAAATCTACGGATGCCACAAGCTAAAGGTAACGTGTTAAATTATTTTTCGTTTTCAAAATGGATTTTGAGACCTAGTGTCAGAAATGGGTGTCAGAAATGGGAAAGGGGCATGGTGTCAGAAATAGGGAAAGATCCTAAAATGGGGGGGGGGGGGGCTACTGTTAGAAATGAGGGGCTTAGTTTTAGAAATGGGGGAGTAGTGTTTTGATAGAGATGATTATTGTATATGTAAATGGATTCCAGATCCACAGGCTGGTTTTCCTATTTTTTTGTGTTTCTGTTATAAATATTATTAGAAGATGAAACCTTTATCATGAAAAAGGAAAATTCAACTACTTGTATTTACATTTGCAAATGTTTTCCATTTTATAACATATTCAACTCAAAATTTATTTGAGTCTGTTTATAAACAGATTTGTCACATGAACATAATTCATGTTTATCAATAAATGATCTACAATGTACATAGTTTCTCAGTGATGTCATAATTAGTCAACTTACACAAGGTAAACTGGTCAATGTACACAAGGAAAAAGTGGTCAAGACTTCCAGCTTACTTATACATGTTCATGTACCCATGGTATTCAAGATATCAATATTTGAGGTACCAATGTTCATGGAAATTATGAAAACATTAATATTGCAGATGCATTGTTTTCTGGGTTTGGCGAGTCACAAGCTATAAATGAGTCTGTCCACTCAAACTCACCAGGAAAAGTAACAAGTCCAGGGAACAAGTCGGCAACATCTGACTCACAGTAAGTCAATAATAAGTTAGAATAAATATACGAAAAAGGGATAATTTTATATACAACAATCCATTTTTGGTCTTTGATCTTCAAATCCTATTCTTAATTTCTTTATTGGATACATAAAAGGATAACTTGCCTAAAAAAAACCAAATCAAATAGTTGCCAACTTACCATGGTATGGCATTTATTATGAAAATGAATGAAGTAGTAGTTAAATTATTAAATGGTGAAAGGGAATTTCCAGTGACTGCTGATTGTGCTTCATTATATCCATTATTTTATCCAGTCATTTTTCATTACTTTCTGTGTGAAAAATTGTTAGGCCACACAATTTTTCGTATGAATTTACAATATCCTTGCTTGATATAAACATGTCAGCTGTATTTTGCCTCATGGAGAAGAAGACAATTTAGTTGAAGCATACGTAAACTTACCAGTACTCTTGACAATGTAATTTAACCTTACAGAAATGTTGACCTTAAACTTGAGGGTGTCAGCAAAGTTTGGGGAGAGGAAGGATTTTTGGAGCAAGAAACCAGACAAGGATATATTCATAATAAAGAGTCTGATGAAAAACAGAGGGAACTAGACAAGAAAAGAGAACTAGCAGCAGCTCTTTTCAGTGGATTTGACATTCAAAATAAGGTATGGTATACCCTGCATTTAATTATTACAGTGAAAAACTGTCAAAATCCAACACCTGTGCAATCCATTTAACTGTGAATCTCAACCTTTATTTTCATTCCCCTTTTGTTCTATACACTGTGTAATCAGACACCTTGTCTATTCTGACACAAAATTTATCTCCCTGTGCATGTCGGATTAGACAGGTTTCACTGAGCAAACAGAGAAAGGAAGATTAGCAGTAATGTCATTTACATGCCCTGTTAAAATTGATTCAGTGCAATAGAGGAACTGCAGTTGACAAAGTACATGCATTAATGATTTGGGGGAAAATGTTGACAAACTGTATCTAAGACATCACAAACCAGGGGGATTTCATTTAATCTCAAGAAAAGAAGGAAAAGAATTTTAAGACTAAAATTTCTTTTCTAGAAAAAATGCAAGCTTACCTTATCACTTTTTTAGCTCACCAAGGGCTCAAGTGAGCTTTTCTGATCAAAATTTGTCCATTGTCTATTGATGTTGTTGGCTTTGCTGCCTTCATTGTTGTTGTCATTGTTTTAAACGTTTCACATTTTCATCTTCTTTTCAAGAACCACTGGGCTAATTTCAATCAAACTTGGCAGAAAGTATCCTTGGGTAAAGAGAATTCAAGTCTGTTCAATGGAAGGCCACACCATCTTCCAAGGGGAAATAATGAAGAAATAGTGAAAATTGGGTGTGGTCAAATTGTCTTCTCAAGAACTACTGGGCCAAAAAAGATTAAACTTATGTGAAAGGCTTCCTTACATAGCTTGGATTCAAGTTATGGTAGATCTACAATTGGCGATCAAAGTTTTACTAGGGAATACATAGAAAAAATCTTTAAAAACTATTTTCTCAAGAATAGCAAAGCCATGATCATTTTTTTATGGAAGCATCCTCAGGTGTCGTAGATTCAATTTTGTTCAAATCCTGATGTGCAGGGTAGGATTAGGCCACAGTGGGCTATATAGGTTTTAATAGCGATTCTCTGTAACCACTTAAACTTCTTTGCCACGCATGGTCACCGATTTTGATGAAACTTCGCCCACTATTACAACTTGACACCAGAAACATATATCAAATAAAATTTCGTTGCTATGTGTCTTGGTTGCCATGATAACAGCCAGAAAAGTTGAAAAAATTGAGATTTTCAGCTACTTTAAATCTTTTGTGAGCCTTAATAAAGACAAAGAAAAACAAACAAACCATTCTCCCAAAAACATGACACCTTGTTGCCACTTATGCTATAAAGAAACTATTTAGAATTTATCTCTAAGTAAGTGGTAACCATGGGTACATTTGGAATACATTTTAGATGCTGAAAAATGCTGAAAAATGCTCTATAGTCACAAATGATATATGTTACATGATCAAACTCAATCAACAACGTAAGAAAAACAATGAAAAATATTTGACCTCATGTAGTTAGGTATTGGCAATATTATTCTAAAAATAACTTTCATGGTTGCCATGGTAACACAGTGCCACCATGCAAAATCTGTTGTTATGATTGGGTTAATGCTACTATCGTGAGGAAAAACAATAAAATTCATGACTGGCACATATGCATCCTTAGGACCTTGCAACACCGACAACATAAGAAAAATTGAGATTAATTGTTACTTTGCAGTGTAACCATGGAAACAACGTACTAGTTGTTTAAAGTGATATTTTTTTGCTGCTTTAGGAATTTACTAACCTTTTAATCAAGAAAAATATTATTTGAATCACCTTGAATAGTACTTATCTCGTAGAACTAAAGTTGAATATCATATATTGATAAAGGTTGTTGAAAAATACAACACTGTTGCTATGGTTACCAATAAGAGAAAATGTTCGATTTTGTTAATTTTTTGTCAATATTAGACCCTATGTGCCAGCTTTTTGCATCCAGTTAGAGATTGGGTGATAGTCAAAATTGAAAGTCAGGTTAGTTGTTCACATATACCAATCATTAAAGTTTTGGGAATCTACATACAACGGTACGTGTCCAAGGAAACAGAGTATTTTTCAGATTTTTATGCATGTTTTTTTCGCCTTATTTCCATAGCAATGCACTATTTAAAGAACTGAAATTGAATTTTTTGAAATGGGAAAATTAGGGTCACACCAAGGCCTTTAAAAATTGATCATCAGTTATATAGAAATATTCTTTTTAAAAAGATAGGATAAGATTAAAACACTAAGAGAGTAAATTTAAAATCCCTTCGTGGTATTAAAACCATGGCAACCATTGCCAACCTATAAGAAATATCATATTTTGTCCTTGGTATATGTTACAAGGATCTCTTTCCTATTATTTGCTTGCATTTCAACCTATAATTGTTTTTATTCTTAAGTGTATGACTTTATAAAATTAAATGAACAAAATTATTACTTTTGAATACTTTGTTTCCATAGTAACGTATATTATAGATAATTTACCAAACATGTTTATCATGCATTTAAGACCTCAGGCCTTCAACTTTCAGAAACAGTCATTGCCACTTGTTTGCTTTGCTGCAAACGTTAACTGTGGGACTCTGAAGATGTTGAAAAATGCCATTTTTCAAACTTTAGGACATGTTGCTATGGTAACCATGACACGTAGCAACCAATTTTTGCCTGATTTGAGTTTACGGTATCAAAGACTTTTATCATAGAGAGTTTGGAGAAATTCTGAGACTATGCGTGCCACAGCTTCTATATAAAAGTTCAAGTCATTACAGAGAATGGCTCTTAAATAGGAATACACGGAAATTCTTTTCAAATCTTCTTTTCAAGAACAACAAAGCCATCATTAGTCATTTTACATGGAAGCATCCTCAAGTATTGTAGATTTAGTTTTGTTCAATTCATAACCCCAGGGGGAAGGGTGGGGCTACAATATTTGATCAAAGTTTTACAGGGAAAATACTCTGCTGATGGAAAACAGCAGGGCCAAAGTAATTCAGATTAGCATTGTGGCCCATTGGCCTCTTGAATTGAAGTAGTGATACTTATTTTTTTCATGAAATTGTCTACAGGTTGGTGAGAAAGAGACTGAATTACAGGATCCATGGTCTGAGGAAGTTCCCCTAACACTGAATTCTACCCCCACAGACTGGAGAGCTCTTAGTGCCGAAGAAACCGAAAAGGGAGATAATTCAAATGAATTCTTAGTAAATGATGAGACTAGAACATCCACCAATTCATTAGATTTTTCAGAGACTAAGATATTGTCAGAACAAGTCACTTCCAGTGATGGACTACTTTCAGTTAGTGAACATAATTTAGATGTTGATGACCGTAATAAGAAGAGTTTTTCAAATAATCAACTGCAATACCACGAAAAGGACTTCAATTTAGAGAAAGCAGAGTTTTACAGCAGAGAACCCCCTCCCCTATGTAGTGAAGACTTTTCTGAAGATGGAATGAGTTTATTCGATAAGCAGCCATTTTCTGGTTGTGATGAAGATATGGATGAAGGGAGCCTCATGTTTAGTCAGGAAAATGTGGAAAGTTTCAGCCAGTTAAATTTAGATACCTCCCAAACCAAAGATGAAGAAAGTGATAGTTTATTTAGGAAAACGAAATTAAATTCTTACAGTATACAGAGTGATTTTCCAAACAAAGAAGCAATTCAAAGAAAAGTCAGTGTTGACGAGGACAATTTATACAGTCAGTATAATACATTAAGTGATAGCGATGATTCTGATAATGGTGATAATGTTAGCTAAAACATCAACATTCTAGGTATTTATTAATTGAGTTATATGATTGATAAAAGCTAAACATAAACTTGTAATTTTACTTGACAACATGTATTTGGCTTAAAATACAATCTCGGGGATTTTTGCATATATACATGTGTAAGTGCATATTGTCTTCCCAGCAATGTTAAATTGTTATTTTGCCCAAACACAAGTGTGATTTGCGTGATAACTGTGATAAAAGTTCATGAACAATATATGGAGTAAGACACACAAATATTATTGCTTTCTTATTTACTCCACCTGAACTATACACTTTAAGTGAGCTTTTTGATCCACAGGATAAATCTATACCAGTCAACTGAATTGTCACTGAAAGGTCTGGAAAGGTTACTGGATGGCAGAGCTCTACCATTCAGTCACTTTTCAGTAGATTTTCAGTCACCTTTCAGTAATAACTGATTGATGTACATGTAGATTTATCCTTTGATCACACATTGTCCATGTCTGTTGTGTATCATCGCACACATTTTCAACTTTTCTAGAACCACTAGGCCAGTTTCAATCAACATTCGATAAAGCATCAATGGGTAAAAAAGGAGATTCAGAATTGTTTAGATGAACAGGCACACTCTCATTCAAGGAGGATGATAAATATAAAGAATAGAATTGATGTCAAAATTAGGGCCTTATGGGGCATAACATATTACAAATTACTCTTTTCGCCCATCCCAAGTTCTCCAGCCCCTAGAGTTAAACCTGATGTTTTTTTTTTGTTTGTTTGTTTGTTTGTTTGTTTGACGTGCCTTCGAGAATTTTTCACTCATATTGAGACGCAATCATATGCTGGTGGAGGGCAGCAAAATAATCATTTGGCAATACGCATGATTTGAACAAAATGGCAACTTGTGTAGACATTTGTCTACGTGTTATTTTTCTACTCTTAGCCCCGATCTGTGATCTGAAAAAACCTAAACCTACACTAAATATCAGTACTTGTATATCAATCTGACAAGTTGTTGCTTTTCCGTTTTGAAGATTTTTCCTCTATAATCCAATGTAAAATTATGACTCGCTTTTGTGGATTTGTCCTAGCCAAAGGGACATATGATAAATAAATCGAATTTTAACCCCCACTACAGGAGAATGTTCCCCTCTCATTATGTTTTATTGTAGTCCAGGCCCCGAGATCATGAAACATCTTAAGCTTAAGTCAGAATCTTCATGTTGTACTAAAATGTTGGTCAAGCACCCCAAAATCAACTTATTTTTTCAAAATTGCTTTCCAGAAGTGTTGTTAACTGCAATTTTAGAGATTAATTCAATAATTAATGAGCATTTTACAGGCGATTGAAAATCTGACATGAGTCTAAGTCTGTTTCATGTTCCTAAGGACTGGTATTCTTGAGAATAATTTTAAAGAATTTTCCTTATTCTAATATAAATCCACTATTTTGGATTCATCTTATTCCCGATTGTAAGAGCCATAATTTGAACAAATCGTAACGTACATAACGTAGTTCACTGCAGGGTGATGTTTGCAAAATCTCAGGGCCACGATAGGGTTAAAGTTTAATGTTGGAAAATATAGGGAGCATTCTTGAAAATCTTTCGGAACAGCAGGGCAAATTATAAATATATAAATTGCAAAATCATAAAGCGCGCTTTTGTGATATTCTTCTCAAAAATATATATTCAATCTATTCAATAGATTTTAACCGTTCACGGTAGCTCAGTCGGTAGAGCGCTCGCTCCGTGATCGGGAGGTCGTGAGTTCGAATCTCGGCCGTGACTGACCTAAGTCGATAAAAAAAAGGGTAGCAACTGTTCCTTCGCCATGCGCTCGGCACTTTTGAAGTGAAAGTTGCGGATCCTTCGGATGAGACCTTAAAAACCTAGGCCCCGTGTCACGGCAGGCGTTGGCACGATAAAGATCCCTCACTGCTCAATGGCCCCGAGTGCCGAGTAAAGGTAAAAAATTTGAAGCCCTTCACCGATATATGGTGACGTCTCTATATGAGTGAAAAATTCTCGAATGGGACGTTAAACAACATACAATTAATCAATCAATCAATAGATTTTCATTAGATTGCATGTTAACTAAAGTACAATTCCATTTAAAAAAAAAAAAAAAGAAAAAGTCCATACTTTTCTGATCTCAATTGGGTTCCTTCCTTTATCTTTGAAAAAAAATTCCTTAATCTATCTATCCCAATGCCTTTCAAGAATCAGTCTACGCCGAAATATGGCTGAAATATTGCCGATTCGGCACTAAACAATATCAATCAATCAATCAATTAATCATCATTACAGCCATCATGCATACACGCGTCCTGCCCAGTTTTGTCCAAATAGTTATTTCTCTAAATATTCTACTACAGCGTAACATTCTGTTGTGCGCTGTCTCTTACTTGCATCTGTCTACCTTTTAAACCTTGATTAAAGACACAGCTTACTTTGGAAAACTTTTTACAAACGTATTTCATGTCATTTTTTATGTCCCCGTAATCGAAGATTCCGGGACATATAATTTTTGTCCTGTCCGTCAGTCTGTCTGTTTGTCCGCAAAAACTGAAGCCTTACCCATAACTTTTGATTGGTTGGAGCTATGGATTTCATATTTCACATGTGTATTCCATGTGACAAAATCCTTGGGTACCATCAAATTTGTCCTTGACCTATGAGTTTGACCCAGTTTTGCAAAATTTTATCGGACTTTACTTGGCCATAACTTTTGATTAGTTGGTGCTAGGGCTTTCATACAATGTACTTCACATGTATATACCTTGTGGCAAGACCTTCCTTTGGATACCAAAAACTTTGACAGTTTGACCTTGACCTTGGAGTACGACATATTATTGAAAAAAACATTAATCTTAGCCATAATTTTTTAACAATTTTGGCCCATTGACCTTGACCTTGAGTTTGACCTACTTTAAAAAACTTTAACCTTGGCCATAACATATGAACATTTGATTCTACCTTTCTATTTCACCTAACATTAAAGTGGACTTCATGTAAAATCTCCACAATTTGCAAAAATCTCACAAAGATTGAAATTATTGGCTATGAAATAGCATACTCGCACGAAAGAGGCCAAAAAGGACCGTTTTCTCATACTATAACACAATTTTTCGATATGAGTGGGTGTCACAGATTGTCGAGCGGATTTATCTTTTAACTAATTAAAATACAACTCAAATGCTTTTGTTTACAATTTACATGTTTAATTAATGATGATACTATATACAAATGTCATTGTTGTTGTTTGTCGTAATTTCCCGTCTCGCCGCTGGCTTTTCCACCTCAAGCACTGCCATGAATCACAAGGGTACATACATGTAAAAACAAAGATGTAAGAGGAGATAGAGGCGTCCTCCTCTCTGGACTGCCGCGTCCAAACTAACTGGCACGGACTGGCGGGTTTTAAGGTCCAGTGAACTGAGGTTCAGTGAAGGATATGTACAGTAATAACACATTTAAAACGAAGGGGTTCCCCACGGGATATTTACATGAAATTTAAAACACATTACCAAAAATATGATAGGATGATTTTAATGTGACAGTGGGTCTTGGCTCCATTTTTTTGAAAGTTAATCCTTAAAGTTTGCGTAAAAATATACATTTTTGGTTAAACATGGAGCAAAGAACCATTATACCATAAAAATACATTATTATGACAAAACATTCGCATTTTTTCCATATTTTCAAGGGTCATATCAAAAACACGATGTAAATGTCAGTATTTATCAGGAGCTGTGAAGCGTAGTGGTTAGCGTGTTGGTCTCAAATGAAAATGATATTAAGTATTTTTATTGCCAGGGTTAGAACGGCACGAATACCACACTATTTTTAAATAACAGAATAATTTTTGCCGAGAAAATTTTCTTCAGAAAAGTTTTGTTCATCTTAATTTCATAAATTTCAATAATGAGAACTTTACTCTAAATACTAAATTCACAAACTGTATATGATTTTTATATATCATAAGCTAAAGGCATACTGCACGCCTTGTTCACCCATCTCCTTTAACCTTCACCATATCTTTTCAACGCTTGGTGTTAGGGCTTTCATATTTCACAGGTATATTCCTCGAGACAAGACCTTTCTTTGGGTACCAATATTTTTGTTCATTTGACCTGGAGTTTGACTTGCATTTGAGAAACTTTAACCTTCGACATAAGCTGCCATACGGATCCGAGGCATCAGTGTTTCACAAACGCATCTTGTTCCTTTTTTTAGATCACCTCGACGAAGTCGAGATGAGCTTATGCTATACCCCCGGCGTTAGCGTCGGCGTCCCGGTTAAAGTTTTAGGAGCAAGTCCCATTCCCAAGTAACTATAAGCCCTACCCGGACCAAACTTGTTGCATGAATAATGCATATAGGGATGGAAACTACCACACTTGCTTCGGATGCTGGATCTGACCTGGATTGTCCAGATGAGTGACCAGGTTAAAGTTTTTGTAGCAGGTCTATTCCCAAGTAACTATAAGCCCTACCTGGACCAAACTTGCATGTATGATGCATCTAGGGATGGAAACTACCACACTTGCTTGGGATGCTGGATCTAACCTAGATTTATCAGATGAGTGACCAGGTTAAAGTTTTTGGAGCAGGTCCATTCCCAAATAAATAAAAGCCCTACTTGGACCAAACTTGCATGTATGATGCATCTAGGGATGGACACTAACACATTTGCTTCGGATTCTGGATCTGACCTGGATTTTCCAGATGAGTGACCAGGTTAAAGTTTTAGCAGCAGGTCCATTATTAAGTAACTATAAGCCCTACCTGGACCAAATTTGCATGTATGATGCATCTAGGGATGGAAACTACCACACTTGCTTCGGATGCTGGATCTAACCTAGATTTTCCATATGAGGACCAGGTTAAAGTTTTTGGAGCAGGTCCATTCCCAAGTAACTAAAAGCCCTACCTGGACCAAACTTGCATGTATGATGCATCTAGGTAATGACACTACCACATTTGCTTCGGATTCTGGATCTGACCTGGATCTTCCAGATGAGTGACCAGGTTAAAGTTTTAGCAGAAGGTCCATTATTAAGTAACTATAAGCCCTACCTGGACCAAACTTGCATGTATGATGCATTTAGGGATGGAAACTACCACACTTGCTCGGGATGCTGGATCTAACCTAGATTTTCCAGATGAGTGACCAGGTTAAAGTTTTTGGAGCAAGTCCATTCCCAAGTAACTATAAGCCCTTCCCGGACCAAACTTGCATGTATGATGCATCTAGGGATGGACACTTCC